AGATATGGGGAATCCCATAAATATATGAGATAGTGACAGTTTCAGGTGTTGGCCTTTGCAAGTTAGGAAGGGCTGAACTTTAGCTTAGATAGCTTGTCCTCAAGTAATTTAAAAGCTGGGTTGTGAAACTGAGTCACCACAAAATAATGACTTTTATTGGACTACGAGGGGAAAAAAGCATTATGGAAGCTTTCAAAACTGAACTGGTGTCTCCATCTGATAAAGATGTTTACAATAAATCAAGAGAAGTGACAATATTAGAGTAACAGGCCTAGATTTTATTTATATGTTTATATAAATATTTATACCCCATTCTATATCAGGAGATGTCAGGGCAGCTTACAATAGCATCAAAACAGGTTAAGCAACATAAAAAGCGTAAAGTCATTTAAACAAGTTAGAAACATACTAATATAACTGATATCATTCTTTATAATTTTAAAAACATGCTAAAGTTTTAAAAACTATAAATAACAGTCTTTGTTTTGCATTAATGGAGCCCAAAGGCTTTGGTGAACAGTCATCAACCAAGGTCCGTGGGCTGGATCCTTCTCGTGCAGCTGCTGGGATCCTTACCATTGGGAAGGAAGGAAGGCAGGCAGAACCACAAAGAGAGCCATGGGAACACTGTGAGGTAGAGACCTCTCTCAGAGCCCCCTACGCTCCTTCAGTTACTAGCTGCCTGAAGGTTGGTGGTTCAAATCCATGAGACAGGGTGAGCTCCCATCTGTCAGCTCCAACTTCCCATGCAGGGACATGAGAGAAGCCTCCCAGAGGATGGTAAAACATCTGGACATCCCCTGGGCAACGTCCTTGAAGACAGCCAATTCTCTCACACCAGAAGCAACTTGCAGTTTTTCAAGTCGCTCCTGACACACACAAAAACAAACTATCTGCCTACACAACAGCAGCAGATGTGATAACTATACATGCCCATCTTAAAGACGTAATATCCATTTTGTATCCCAAGGAAACAATTATATCAAGGAAAAGAAAAATTGACACTGTTGCATCACTTGTTAAGACTGGTGGTGACAAATATGGAATCGAACACTGAGGATCCCTGGATAAAAGCACTGGTGCCAATCGGGCCTCCAAGAGGAGAGCATTTCATAGTTGGGATGCCACGGCTGAGAAGGCCTTCCCCCATTTCCCAAAACAATGTGTTGACCTCAATGTTAGGAGATGGAGGAGAGACCCTCAGTACAAATAATCCTTGCCCAGGTACATATAGGAGGGGCGTTCCCTTGGATATTAAGTTTCTAATCCATTTAGGGCTTTTAATGTCATCACAAATATCTTGAATGTATTGGCAGCCAGTGCAATTATTTTTAAACTGATGTTGCATGCTGTCATCTACATGGTAGAATGAATGAAGGTTGACATCACTTTAACTGCTGTTGCTTAATGCTATGGAATCCTGGGAGTTGTAGTTTCACAAAGCAGTTAAGTTGGTGTCAAACTGCATTACTTCTACAGTATTGATGTATTCTATAAATGAGGGTTTATTTGAGGCTGGATGATCATCTGTCAGGAGTGCTTTGACCCTCCCCCAACACCAACTGCTACTCTGGGACCAGAGTAAAGAGGGGCCCAGGAAGATATTGTATTTATTTTATTTATTGTATTGTATATTACTTGTAAGCTGCTCTGAGTCCCCTTTGGGGTGAGAAGGTCGGTATATAAATGTCAAAAATAAATAAATAAAATATGTATCCTCACTTGGTAAAATTGTTGGAATTCGCAACCTTCAAATAAACAACAACAGCAACCTTCTTCAAGCCTCCACTAGAAATCTGTTTGTATATAATTCAGATTACTTACTGTATTGTATATGTGTGTATTGGTATTCAGTTTTCCTTAACTTTATGTTGTGGGAGGGCTGCAGACTATTCAGATCTCAGACTCCATTTTAGAAACAGAAAAAAATGGGGTTGGACTGAATGGCCAGTTGACCAGTTGTTGAATGGTGACTCAGGATGTAAATGAAAGCATTTGATTCAATAGACCCAGTTCTACTCAGGACTATAACTAGAATTCAGGTACATGATTTCAATTTTCTTCACTTCTTTGTTCTTGTGTCCAAACGATGACTTTTGGAACCCTATTTTTTGGCCCTATTCCACCAAAAGCTTTACTTTGCTTCCCTTTCTACAGTCAGCTCTCATCTGTGGAGTCTGCATCCACAGATTCAACCATCAACAACTTGAGAATATCACAAGTTGTTACTAGCCATCCCCTGTTACATATTGCTGTGGCCCAGTTTGGTGATCTGGAAAATAAAGTAATGAGAAAGTGTTGGTTTCTAATATGGGTAGTTTTTTTATGCTTGTGAGTAAACAGTATTTCTTGCTGTTTCTTTGCCAGTGTTGATGTGGAGATTGTCTGGTTTGCCTACTCTGGAACATGCACCATATCATTGTCCTCCTTTAGGGGTCCTTTCCAAATCTATGATACTATATATGTCATATACACATATATATGTGTGTATGTGTGAATCATATCTATCTATCTATGGCTGGATGGCCTTAAGGCAGCATTTCTCAACCTGGGGGTTGGGACATATGGGGGGTCAGAAGGATCACCAAAGATTATGAGAAAACACAGTATTTTCTGTTGGTCATGGGGGTTCTGTGTGAGAAGTTTGGCCCAATTCTATCATGGGTGGGGTTCGGAATACTCTTTGATTGTAGATGAACTATAAATCCCAGCAACTACAGCTGCCAAATGACAAAATCAATGTTTTTGAGTGATGGTCACTTCTTGAGTTAGTAGGTGTCTTGTGGACAAATTTGGCAATTAGTCCAGCGGTTTTTGAGTTATTAGTTGAGGGGTCCTCCCCCCAGCACCAACTGCTGCTCTGGGCCAGAGTGAAGAGAGAGGGGGCCAGGGGACAGTTCCACCTTGTCTCCTATGCTATGCTAATCATGTAATGTAATGTAATTTATTGTATATACATATAATATTTATAATATTATAATGTAATACACTAGAATACTACAAATAATAATTTATTATAATTATATGTATTATATTACTTATAATATTACTAATAATATTACAATATAATGGTAAAGAACAATATAGTAATATATAATATTGATCTTGTACTATGCTAATAATATAATATATTGTATGAATATATATCTTGTAAGCCCTTCTGAGTCCCCTTCGGGGTGAGAAGGGTGGCATATAAATGTCATAAATAAATAAATAAATGATGTCACTCAAAATGAACAGAGTATATATATATATAGAGAGAGAGAGAGAGAGAGAGAGAGATTGACTAATGAATGGCAGCCACTGCACTTTGATTATATATGCTTACGTTTTGCCCCCCATGGCTTGAAAATATTTTTTAAAATAAATTTAAAAACATTGACTTTGTAATTTTATATAAGGGGCACTGCTTAAGTACACCATTGTATATAATGGGACTTGAGTGCCTTGGAAACAGACCCCCAGCAGATACGTGACCGCATTTCTGTGTATGAACCCACACAATCTCTTTGATAATCTGGAGACGCCCTGCTTGCGCTCCCACCTCCCTCGCAGGCGCGATTGGTGGGGATGAGGGAGAGGGCCTTCTCGGTGGTGGGCCCCCGACTCTGGAACTTACTTCCAAAGGATATCAGGTATGCCCCAACATTGGCAGTCTTTAAGAGGAGCCTGAAAACGTGGCTGTTCCAGTGTGCCTTCCTGGAATAAGGGAATAACTCCCAGCAATATGTCCTTACAAATGCACTTTAACCATTGGATTGCATTGGACTGTACCCCTTTTTAAAACCCTCCTATGAGATATATACTATCTTGTCATACCCAGCGTTATTTTTTAAATTTTAATTTATTACATCTGACCTGGCCATAGGCTTTTAAATCCTGTGTGTTATTGTTATATGTGATTTATATTATTTTGTATTGCGCCTACAAAGCCTACAAAGCCCTAAACGGTTCTGGCCCCTCTTACCTCTCCGAACGCATCTCCTCCTATGAACCGGCGCGGACATTAAGATCATCCGGGGAGGCCCTGCTCTCGGTCCCGCCTGCATCACAGGCACGATTGGCGGGGATGAGAGACAGGGCCTTCTCGGTGGTGGCCCCTCGGCTATGGAATGCCCTACCGGTTGACATCAGACAGGCCCCCTCGTTGCTGGCGTTTCGGAGGAAGGTCAAGACTTGGCTCTACGAGCAAGCGTTTGGCTAATCAGTGCAACTGAACAACTGAACACAGGAAGTCGGTAAAACTGAACATAGGAATGGCACAAGGATTATGAGAATGGATCTTGTTCTGTTGAGGCGTTATGAATTGATTAGGAATTGATAATAATTGTTGATTTTGTTGTAATGTGTCATGTGTTTTTAATCTGTATATTACTGTATAACTTGCACTGTGTAAACCGCATTGAGTCGCCTAATCTAGGCTGAAAAATGCGGTATAGAAGTAAAGCAAATAAATAAATAAATAAATAATATTGCTTTGTATTGTTGCTTTTCTGTTTTGATGTGTTATTGGGCTTGGCCTCATGTAAGCCGCTCCGAGTCCCTTGGGGAGATGGTGGCGGGGTATAAATACAGCTTTATTATTATCAGCAGCCCACTGTATTCATCATATGATGGGGGGGGGGGGGAGTATTTTAGCAGGTCTCTAATATAGGCATGAAAATCCCCATCTGGCAAGCATGGAGGCACTCATTTCCATTTTATACACGTTTTTTCTGTTAAATCAGGTATCAAAAGTCAACCCAATGGCGAGTGCCTCTCTCTCTCTCTCTCTCTCTCTCACACACACACACACACACACACACACAGGGTGCATCTATACCGTAGAATTAATGCAGTTCGACACCACTTTGGTTTCCTGTGATTTGTACTTTGGTGAAACACCAGCACTTTTTGGCAGGGACGGCTAAATACATTGCAAGGCTACAACCCAGAGGATTCCATAGCACTGAGTCAGGGCAGTTAAAGTCGAGCCAAGCCGCCTTAAGCCTGGAGTGCAGATGCACCCGAAGGACGAACAATGGCTCGGACCGAAGTTTGCCGGCGAGGCGCGCGCGCAAAACCAGAGAAAGAAATGGCAGGAGTGGGCGGAGAGCACGGGAGAGAGCGTCCAATCGGAAGGCGAGGCCGCGTTCCAAAGAGCGCGCAGGCATCCAATGGGCGCCGGGCGGAGAGGTTCCCAACACGCTCGGCTCAAGAATCTCAAGTATTCAAGATGGACGGAAGGGAATGCGGAGGGAAGGAGCAGGGAGCGCGAGCGCGGGGCGCGCGCCGCTGCCATAGTTGGCAAACAAAGCGGGGGCCGAGGAAACCCCGCCAAAGTTTGGAGCCACGCCGCTGGGGCACGCGGGAGCAGACGAGGAGGCCCCGGGCACTGCTGGAAGGGTCACGGTGGCCACGGAGTCGCTCCCGGGCACGAGGAGGAGGAGGAGGAGGAGGAAGAGGCGGCGCCTCCCCGCACCCCCCAGCCCCGTTCACACGAGACACGTGTCTTGCTGCAAAGTGGGAGCGCAGCGCAGGTCGTGAGTTGCAGGGGGGTCGAAGAATGGGGAGGTGGGGGGCGTTGCTGCAGACCCCTTCGAGTACTTCCCGCTTCAGTTTAGGGTGCATCTGCACTGTGGGAACAATGCAGTTCGATCCCACTTGTGACTTCATCAAACTAGAGAATGAACCCACTTTAAATCCGGTTTCTGCCTCTTGCAGAGTTCTGGGGTTTGTAGTTCAGGGGGGCTGTTCAAGGCTCCTCCCTAAACTACAAGCCCCAGAATTCTGCAGGAGGCAGAAACCGGATTTAAAGTGGATTCATTCTCTAGTGTGATGAGTACACCTCAACACAGTAGAGAATGCCAGGGCTCAATGCTGCACGGTTGTGCGATATGTAGTGAGGCAGCCGCTCGCTTTGCCAGAGAAGGCTAAAAAAACTTGCAAAATTACATTTTCCATCATTCCATAGCATTGAACCATGGCGGTTCAAGTCCCATCAAACTGCATTAATTCACCAGTATAGATGCATCCTCAATCCCACTTAGGTGGACTTCATTGGGGCCTCAGCACACTAGAGCAGGAGTCCTCAAACTTTTTAAACAGAGGGCCAGGCCACAGTCCCTCAAACTGTTGGAGAGCCGGATTGTAATTTGAAAAAAACATGAATGAATTCCTATGCACACTGCACATATCTTATTTGTTGTGCAAAACACACTTTAAAACAATACAATAATTAAAATGAAGAAGAATTTTAACAAATAGAAACTTATTAGTATTTCAATGAGAAGTGTGGGCCTGCTTTTGGCTGATGAGATAGGATTGTTGTTGTTGTGTGCTTTTCAGACTTAGATTGACCCTGAGCGAGGGCCGGGTAAATGACCTTGAAGGGCCGTATCCAGCCCCCAGGCCTTAGTTTGGGGACCCCTGCATTAGAGAATGAATCCACTTTAAATCCGGTTTCTGCAGGAGGCCGAAAATGTATTTAAAGTAGATTCATTCTCTAGTGTGATGAAGTAGAACTGCCAGGGCTTATTGCTATGGAACTGTGTGATTTGTAGTTTAGTGGGGCAGCAGCTCGCTTTGCCAGAGAAGTCTAAAAAACCTTGCAGAAATACAGTTTCCAACATTCCATATTATTGAGCCATGGCGGTCAAAGTGCCCTATCAAACTGCATTAATTCTACAGTATAGATCAGGGGTCCTCAAAAAGCAAAACACTTAAAACAATACAATAATTAAAATGAAAAACAATTTTAACAAATATAAACTTTGTGGGCCTGCTTTTGGCTGATGAGATAGGATTGTTGCTGTTGTTGTGTGCTTTGAAGTTGTTTCAGACTTAAATTGACCCTGAGCGAGGGCCGAGTAAATGACTTTGGAGGACTGTATCTGGCCCCCGGGCCTTGAGCCCCCCTGGTATAGTTGCATCCTCAATCCCATTTAGTCTCATCACATTAGACAAAAAATACATTTAAAATTCGGTTTCTGCCTCCTGCAGAATTCTGGAGTTTGTAGTTTAGGGAGGAGGCTTGAACAGCCTCACTAAACTACAAACTCCAGAATTCTGCAAGAGGCAGAAACCGGATTTTAACTGGATTCACTTCATCACACGAGAGAAAAAATCCACTTAAAATCCTGCAGAATTCTGGAGTGTGTAGTTTAGGAAAGAACCTTGAACAGCCTCACTGTACGATAAACCCTAGAATTCTGCAAGAGGCAGAAACCAGATTTCAAGTGGATTTTTTCTCTCATGTGATAAATTTTATTTATTTTGTATATTTTTATCCCACCCTTCTCCCCACAAGGGGAACTCAGAGCGGCCTGAAGTGGACGAGCTAAAAGCAACCCTTTCACCTGTTCTTGGCATGATCTATTCAAAGGGGATTTCTTGTTCCTTCCTCTGAAGCTGAGAGAGAGTGACTTGCCCAAGGTCACCCATTGGGTTTCCACAGCCAAAGAGGGAACTGAATCCTGGCTCCGACAGATAAACCACTGCACTAGGCTGTGGGATAGAAGAATATTGCACCCTTTTGAACTCACCAGTTCATTATATCACACTGGCCAACACACCTCAAATGTTAGCCCTGTGTCTGGGTAGATTTGGCCTCTGGTTTCCAGAAATTGCACCCATTTCCCCCTGTCAACTCTAGTTTCTGAGATTCAAAACATAGGCTACTAGTCTTCATCTGCTCGCCCATAGAAAACCATATCAACCATATCTAAAGAACACAAACTGATGGAGTTGAGCCAATGCAAGTTTCTGAATCAGTGTCCCAGGTCACTCCAAGAACAGGCCTAAAATCCAAGACACAAAAGATTTTGTTGGGCTGTGTCATTTTTGGTCAGTCCTATGCATCTACACCAGGCATGGGCAAACTTTGTCCCTTGAGGTATTTTGGACTTCAACTCCCACAATTCCTGGCCTCCGGCCCTTTCCTTTTCCCCTTCAGCCGCTTAAGGGACCTGAGGCCAAGAATTGTGGGAGTTGAAGTCCAAAATACCTCAAGGGACAAAGTTTGCCTATGCCTGATCTGCACTATGGAATTAATGCTGTTTAGTACTGCTTTAACTGCAGTGGCCAAATGCTAAGGAATCCTGGAGCTTGTTGTTTAGTGGGGTAAAAGCCCTTTTTGTCAGAAGACCTTGTAAAAAGACAACTCCCAGGATACTATAGCATTGAGCCATGACGATTAAAGTGATGCCAAACAACATTAATTCTGAAGCAGTGGTTCTCAAGCTGTGGGTCCCCAGATGTTTTGGCCTTCAACTCCCAGAAATCCTAACAGCTGGTAAATTGACTGGGATTTCTGGAAGTTGTCGGCCAAAACATATGAGGACCCACAGGTTGAGAACCACTGGTCTAAAGTGTGAATGCACCCTTGGCCTAAGGTTTAAACACCACGCTGGCTCTACATTTCTAAATTTGGGGGAACTTGCCTGAGTCCAAGGAAAGTCCTGTTTAGATGGGGTTTTTTTTGTTTTCATCCCATCTTTTTCCCAATATAGGGACTCAAGGAAGCCAACCAGAAATAATGCTTCTGAATCAGGAGCAGAAGTTGGACATTTTAATATTTTGGACAACTCAAGGCTTCTGTGAGATGCTGTTTCACAAGGTCGCAAGCCTTCCCTGCCAAGGAGTGAGGAGGACATTTGAACATTTTGGACTACAGCTCCCAGAGTTCCTTATGTTAACAGTGAGGAGTGAATTGGATTGGAAATTGGATTGGAAGAGACCTCATGGGCCATCCAGTCCAACTCCCTGCCAAGAAACAGGAAAATCGCATTCAAAGCACCCCCAACAGATGGCCATTCAGCCTCTGATTAAAAGCCTCCAAAGAAGGAGCCTCCACCATTCACTGGGGCAGAGAGTTCCACTGCTGAACAGCTCTCACAGTTAGGAAGTTCTTTTAATGTTCAGAGGTGGAATCTCCTTTCCTGTAGTTTGTTGAAAAAGTAACTTTCCTAGGCTCTCCTGGTAACTGGAGAGTCGGTGAGAGCAACCCCGTAGTTGGATCCGGTTTCACCCAATATGGTATAGGACTTTTAATATTAACTCCCCCCACCCCCACCCCCCAAAAAAAGCTCATTTGCATTTCTTTCCTCAGATTTCAAAACTGTTGGCACATTTTAGTAGTTTGCACACTACTTGCAGGAAATGCAAAAATGCTAGGATATGTCCAGAGAGTTTTTTTTTTAAAGCAGGGATATGACTCTTTCGTGACCTCTTTTACTGTATTTTGCCTCATCTTTGAAAATATGGTTCTTTTTTCCCCTTTCTGATCAGGATAATGGAAGAAAAGGATGACGTGAGGTGTGTTTGGCGTGACACATTCCTACACGCCTGACAGTGATGACAGTGCCGTGCTTTCTCTTCCCAGGTATTGCTTTCTCTTCGTATGACACATAGGAAGCGCCTGTGCTCCATGCCCCAGGCCAATGTGCAATATGGAGAAACGAAGCCTGCAGAAACACATCAGAATGCTTTAAGCTTTGCAGATTCTCATTCAGTCATTCAGCAGTCATCAGGTTTTTCAGCGCTTCTTGGAAGAAAGCTCCCTGGAGTGCCATTAAAGGAGTCGTTCTGTAGATTTTCAAGCCCCAGGGACCAGAAGGGTTTCACCAAGCTAGCAATTCTCTTTAACTTGTATAGTTTACATTTTGACCCTGTGAAAACGCATATTTGGTGCTTGAATAAAACTGGCTCATTATGATGGCATCATTTCATTATAAATAGGAAATATGCCAGTTGAATCATCCGTGTCTGCAGCGGCCATTCCCAGACTGTTCCGCAGAATCCAAGGGTCCCACGAAAAATCTTAAACCAATTTAGCTACTGTCTGCACATTTCAACATTTCACAGTAGGAGTGTTTCATCCATCGCCAATTTCTCACTGATTTTTCTTTTTTTCCCTTTCTTCTACAGTTTTGGAGATAAAAGACATTTGGGATACTGGGATATTATTCAAAAAATGACAATAATTCTTTTGCAATAACTAGATGTTATGTTGGGAGCTCCCGGTGGCGCAGTGGGTTAAACCGCTGAGCTGTTGAACTTGCTGACTGAAAGGTTGCCGGGTGAAATCCGGGGAGCGGCATGAGCTTCCACTGTCAGCCCCATCTTCTGCCAACCTAGCAGTTTGAAAACATGCAAATGTGAGTAGATCAATAGATACCGCTTCAGCGGGAAGGTAACGGCGCTTCATGCAGTCATGTCAGCCACGTGACCGTGGAGGTGTCTATGGACAATGCCAGTTCTTTGGCTTAGAAACTGAGATGAGCCCCAACCCCCAGAGTCGGATATGACTGGACTTAATGTCAGGGGAAAACCTTTACCTTTTACCTAGATGTTATTTAAAAAGTTGGGAGCCCCTAGTAGTGCAATGAGTTAAACCCTTGTACCAGTAGGACCGCTGACCAATAGGTCAGAGGTTTGAATCCAAGGAAAGCAGGATGAGTTCCCTCTCATCAGCTCCAGCTCCCCATGTGGGGACATGAGAAGCCTCCTACAAGGATGATAAAACATCAAAACATCCAGGCATCCCCTGGGCAATATCCTTGCAGACGGCCAATTCTTTCAAACCAGAAGCAACTTGCAGTTTCTCAAGTCACTCGTGACATTTAAAAAAACCCCAAAAAGCAATCCAGAACATATGAGGGTTTTTCAAAACATTTCTGCACTTTTTAAACTCTTACTTAGAAATTTTCAAAAACAAATTGCGTCACTTTTCTTGCATAGTCCCCTTCCTTTGTGATGCATTTTTTCCCAGCAGTGTACCAATTTTTAATCACATCAGCACAAAATGTTTTTGATTGAGTGCATCATCATTGATGCACTGATGTGAATCAGTTACAGGGTTTTTTCCTTATTCTTTGGGGTCATGGGTGTAGCTCAGGCATAGCCAAACTTGGGCCCTTGGGTGTTTTGGACTTCAACTCCCTCAATTTCTAACAGCCAGTAGGGAGTTGAAGTCTAAAACACCTGGAGGGCCCAAGTTTATTTTATTTATTTAGCAGTTTTGTATACCGGTCTTCTCACCTCCATCGAGGGACTCAGGCCGGTTTCCAACATCAATATTACAAACAATCATTAAAAACATCGTATTCCAGATTACACTAAGACATTAAAAACAAAATACAATCATATAACTGCTATATATATATATAACTGCTTTGCCTATAACTGCTGTAGCTGGAGGCCTGGAGCGCTCTGCATCCGTCACACCAGTACAGTCATTTTTGAACATTTAAATCCATTCATAGATGACTGTATGAGAGAGAATTTTATCATTTTTTGAATGTTTGCCATGTATGTGTACTGTGATCCGCCCTGAGTCCCCTTGGGGAACATCCTTGCATACGGCCAATTTTCTATCCAGAAGCAACTTGCAATTTCTTAAGTCATTCCTGACACTTTTTTTCAATATATAAATCCCCTAATTCCTTTCTCCTTCTCAATTTTCCATTGTAAAATTTGGTCTTCCCTTTCTTTTCCATTCTGTTACCCTTTGATAACATAATAGCCAGTTTCTTGATCCGCACTTCCTCTTTTACTCCTCCCATTTTTAATTGATCCATCAGAATTTAATAACTTGCCAATGTTTGTTTTTCCATTGTGTTTCATATTATTTATTGATTTCCCAAATATCTGATCTTTTTATTATCTATTAGTCCTATTGGAAGCAGATCTATTTTATTTATGGAAAACGTTACTTTGCCATTTTTCCCTCATTGTATTGTTGAAATTAGTGGTCCACCTTTTATTTTCATTATTTCCTTATTATCTAACTTTACCTTACTACATGAGCAATGTTCCCACCCATTAATTGAATTGGTAATTTCTTTATGTCTTGCAGTCATAGCAAAATGGTCACTTTATGACTCTTTGAGATGTTCACCCACCACTTGACTATCCAAGTAAAAACCACTTTTAACAAATTATTAGAATTATCTTCACGTCCTCTCCTGGGCTCATGTTTTTGCTATTGTCATATATTCTTGTTTTGTAATTTTTGTGGCATATATGTGAAACCCAAATGATGTCTGTCAGGGATTTCTGAATTGTTTCTTATTTCAACCATTTGTGACTGTTTTGCAGTGCTTTGACTGCCAGAAGGGTTGGATTCAGCACTGTCTATGTTTTTCCAAAAGAGCTACTGTGGCCAGTTATAATTCAATATGCTCAGTCAGTACAATAATCCCAACAGTCCAGTGAGTTGTGTTGTAAAAAACGTGTAACTATGTGATCTTGATTAGTTCTTTGCATCTATTTCTGTCTACTATCCACTGGATTGTTGCAGATATCCTATAATAGAAAACTAGGCTCCTGCAATCAAACAGAAAACTTGTTTTAAGGTGGAGAATAGAATACCTATTAAATGTAGATCCCTTACCCCAGAGCCATGTATGAGAGAAGGAAGAAAGCTATCATGGGCATTGCATGTAGATACTTTTTTGTATAATTGGCTAACATCAGGCTCCAACCAAGGGCTGTGTCTCTTCTGCTTTTACTCCAAAAGCTTGTTGTTTATTTCTAGTTACCATTTGCTTAATGTCTGGCTCCAAGGTCCAACAACATAGGAGTGGGGTAAATAACCTGCTGGGCGAGGACACGATGTTGCAGCGGTGTCCCAAAACTTTGTAACTAAATCATCCATTTCTCTTTCTCTCCTGGTGCTGCTGACAGCCATTGAACCAGACAATTTTAGGGAGATCTTTCCTTTGTTAAATAATACATTTGGATTTATTTCAGGTGGTAGATTGTTTACTGGTTCTCTTTTTATGTCTCTTTAAGTGGATGTTTTGGCTAACAAGAGTTCTAGAGAAGGAAGTTCTGCTCTGGGTTCCAGTTTCTCCACCTGATGTTTACAGGAATCAAATTCCAAGGTCTTCTGTGTTGGAATATCAAAATTTTAGTCAGGGCAGCAGTGCAAAAGGCCCCCAGTCTCAGCAGACCTTAGGGGCTACTTGAGTAAGTTCTCATCTCACACCTTCACCTCTGTTTATCTTCCTATCCCTTGTCATCTGTTTACTTTTGAGCTTTTCTGGGCAGAGAAAGTTTTTTGTCCTGTATTCCAGCATAACCTACAACTGTGGACCCCTTCTCTTTGATACATCAGAGCTACTGGGCTGAAATGTGTGGGTTTGCTTGGCATTAAAGAATGGAGAAATATAGCATAGTGTGCTGGTAGCTGGGAACTATAAGTACTTGACTGGTATTCATGTGCCAGGATGAAAAGATTCGCTGTTGCAGTTGCAGACTTGAAATTGGAAAACTTGATTCTTTTCCTTGGGATGTTTTTGACATGTCAGATGACAAACCTAACAAAACAAGACTAGTGCAGCTATGAACCCACACCCAGAAAAACACAGACACATGAGAATTATTATTCAAGTCTCTAGAACAGTGGTTCTCAACCTGTGGGTCCCCAGGTGTTTTGGCCTACAGCTCCCAGCCAGTAGGATTTCTGGGAGTTGAAGGCCAAAACATCTGGGGACCCACAGGCTGAGAACCAACTGATCTAGAATAATTTTAGTATCTAGAATATTCTAGGCACATAAGATCTAGTAAACAACCCAAAACTACCGTATTTCTTGTATTCTCATTTTGAAGCAGAATATTCCCCATCACGGGTTGAAATTTCAAAGAATTCTAGGATAAACTAATTTCTGAGGCATAATAATATGGAATCAAGGTTTTTTAACCCCTTTTGCATGGTACGTAAGCAAGTCAAGCACTCTACATGTGCCAGCATCAAGTGTGTTCCCACTTGAATATTAACTCAGGGCATCTTATGTTGAATTTTGGTGTGTTTTAGAATTTCAATCAGAAATTTCATAAGTCATACCAAAGTAGCCTCAACTGAATGTCCTTCTGCAGTGTTGAAGAATTCGAGCTGATGGGTGTTGTGAGAGTTATTTATTGGCAGAGGCGAGTTCTCTTACATGCCTCTATTCCCAAACCACCACCACCCCTCCTTCATAGGTGGAATTCCTGTGTAATCTTTTAGAAACTTGAAATAGGACACTACTTCTGGAAGAAGGCTGACATGTCTAAATTGATTTGTGCATGACAGCAGGAGCCAAGCATGTTCATAGCAGGCTTTATAAAGAAACTGCCCTCGATAAGAGTTAAATAAATCATCCTCATCCTGTGTGATCCTTCCCCCTTCAGAGAGGTAACGGTGTTTGTCTTCTTTCAGCAGAGAGACGCGGGGCCTTCAAGTGCACTGGGCATGGCCCCTGTCCAAGGCTCTTTTCACATTGTGCTTCTGTCTGCCCGACCCAAGCAGTGCAATGTTAAAAGGGCATTGGGTGGGTGGCTGCAGCAGCATGAAGCCTCCCAACCTCAGGCATTGAGCCTCAGTACATGCGAGGTCAAAAGGTTGCATCTTGGAGAAAAGGTACAGTGCCCAAAAGTAGGCAGTCCATCTACCCCTGCCTTCATGTGGGGCTGACCAACATCAATTGCTGGGTTAGATAATTCACCAGGCATTGGGGTAGCTGTGGGGATACCTGAGGGAAAGTTAATGATGGGTTCATTCCTTGTAAGTCAGCTGTGGCAATCTTTTTGAGGCAAATGTCAGCAGGCCAACCTATAGAATAAATGTTCATGTATCTGGGTCTCCCTTGTGTTCTTGTACATTTAATCAGTTCTCAGTCGGTGATCGTCTGAAGGGAGGAAAAGGCCTTCTAAGTGAAAAGGCAGATGTGGGAAGCTGTGCCAACAAATGCCTGAAATGAAATAGTTTTACACACCAATTTCCCAATTATAAATGGGAGAAAACATTATTGACCCATGGATTGTGTACTTGGGTTTCCTAATGTTTGCTCAGTAGTGCTGCTGCTTGTTTTGAAATGTTGAGTTAGATATTTTAGCCAAGGCAATCAGCTGTTGTTTCTGTTTCAAACAAATCCTTTTGGAATATTTGACCAGCAAGCTTTTTCCCTTGTGAATGGAATTGCTGGCTTTGTGTTGAACCCTAGCAAGGAAACAGGACGACGGACGCAATTGTTACTATGCCATTTGTTGGTTTGTTTTAAATACAAAACACTTTTATTATACAAAAAGATACCTGCGCTGGTGACAGTGCTTGAGGCTTTGCTCCCACTTGATTCCCCCCACCCTTTCTTTGTGTGTGTGGTGGGGGGACTGTGGGGGTCCAAAGTGCCCCGGGATCACAAGCACATGACGACCCAAAACAAAAGAAACAGACTCCATAGAATAAACATGGGGAAAATACCACGGCAGTGTTCAGGGAAAGGGGATGGTGACAGGGAGGTGAACTACCATGGCCCCATGTGGAGAGGGACTGTTCCTCTGTCCCCTACCTCCAGGATACTTGTTATTTCATGATGGGAGACTGAGTCTCCCTCCAGCCTTCTCTGTCCAACACCGATAGGCTGACAAACACTTTCCATTTCTCCCCACCAAAAATAAAAAAGAGGAGCATAAGAAGCTCCCTTAAACTGAACCAGACCACTGGGTCCTTCCTGCGCAGTATTGTCAGTTGTGACCATCAGCAGTTGCCCAGGGCCTTGGGATAAGATCTGTTGCAGCTCCTTGAGGTTCTCTTTTAAACTGGGAGTGAAACGAGCTGTCAACATGCACTATGTGCTTTAACCACTAAGCTGTGCCCCCTCTGTCAGAGCTCCCAGACTTTTCTGCCTCATCCAGAAAGGACTGTGTCTTTCTTATACAAAGGACTGCCTAAGTCAAGCCGGCTTCCAGGCTTGCAGTTCCGAGTGCCCCAGTTTTTCCTACGCAACAAGTGCTTAGCTGGGGAAGGGGTAGCATGCCCTGTAACGGGTCAAGTAGAATCCCACTCACAATCCTCCCACATTGGCCCCTGTACCCTGTGAACTTGCCCTTCTTCTGTAGGGGTGGCGTGGGGTCCTCCAAACTGTGGATCCAACATTTCAGGAAGTACAAGAGGTTTGGGAGAAGGATCCTGGTCTTTCCACTTCCACGGGTGATGCTGTGCGAGAGATGGGGTGGGGAAGGGACTGGGTTAGTTGTGCCGGGGTGCCAGCTGTGGTTGTGGGGTTAGGAAAGGGCAAGGCATGCTACGCAGGAGGGTGTGCATCCAGAGAGTCCCTCCTCAGTCCCAGCCGTTGTCCTTCACCATATGTGACATCTCAATAATATACTTTCCTTCTTTGTACTTCTGGCTGGTCTCGAAGGCTTGTTCCTGGTGAATAAGGAAATGGGAAGATATGAGCCCACTCACTTCAGACAGTATCTGCCACATCTGCCTCCCTACAAATCTGTAGTATGCGGACACAGACTGCTTCCAAAAAGGGGGAGACATATGTGCAAGAAAACCATAAATGACAATAGAGGTATTGGGGACCGGCATTTCTGCTGGTATGATGTGAGAGCTGGAGACTAATCTGGATTTACAGGGTTTCCATGCTTTTGACCCATGATCTCACAGAGACACTACCTTCCCCGTTTTCAGAAAGATTTCTCCATGAATCCTAATTTGAAGAGGATTTGTTTTCTATACAGGTTCAATACTGCATTCAATACTCACATATTTCCACCCCAGTGTAGTCTTGCAGCTTTCGCAGAATATATCAGCAACCGAATGGAGACCTGTGAGCAAGAGGCGTTGCTCAGCCGGACCACAGCCCACATTGACCCTGCAGTAAAAGAAATTAAGAGGAAATTAAGCATCTGTAGTGTTACCCTCACCAGTTGCAATCTATTCTATGACATTTGTAATAGATTTTCACATAGAAGAGAAAGAAAAGTATTTCAAGCACACTCTTGCTTTCAGGGGTAATATGACTATTAAGAAGTTCTCTGTAACTTAAACATAGTTTATATATTCAGTATGAAATCCCAACAGTTCCAACTTCTAGATCTAAATCTATTGAGCAACTATGGATACAGAGGTGTCACAACCATCCTGTCATCTCTTAAATTTACTCTTTCACAGGAAAAAAAAATCCAGTCTACTGACTGAACCTGAAGATGGAGCTCTGAGAACAGAGGTACTCTGATTTTGGTCCTGTAGTGACCTCTCATGGCCAGGAGAAGGACCTACACAACAATGAACCTTACCCAGAACAAGAAGGTTGAGACACATCCATACTGCAGAACCATTCTAATTACCACACTGGTGTCTAGGAAAGAAAGAAAGCTAGGACAAACATGTTCTGAGCTTACTCATACTTCTACATACCTTCCTTCTAGATTTAGTGTTACGTACTCAGATGCAACTATTGTGTATTGAGAGTTCTTCAAGTCATTAAGGTGTTCTGGCAACTTGAGAATAGTAGGAGCAACAAACGTTTGAAGTTTCAAGAAGCCAAACATCGTCTTCCAAGTCAGGTAAAGATGATGGAAGTAGGAGTAGGCAGGCTGCTAGCTGCAGAAGTTGAGATGGATCTAAAATAACCTAGGAATTGCTATGTGCCCTGGAGGCACAGATGCATCTCCTAAATACATGATGCATATGTTCACTGCAGTAGTCTCTTAATATGCAAACACATGAGTTATTGCCATTGTAGCATGATATAACAAGATCCTTCTGGCAGCAGAAAAATGAATCCTGGGCTGCCAATGAGGTAGTGCTCCTTAATTTCAAGTTGATACAAACCAGAAATTAAATTACACCATCCTGAGGTGTGGCATTAGTAAATTACAGGTGAAGAACGTTCACTCATGTCCAAATAAGGTTTCCTTGTGGATTTCCTTCCCTTTTGAGCCTAAGATGACCTCTTCTTTCTAACAATCCTTTTATTTATTAAGGGTTTGATTGCAGAAGGCCTTTTGACTGAGAAGTACAATAAATCACCATGTTTTAACTGCCTTTAAAATTACTGTAAATTAATATATTCAATAAAGTGGGTCCTTGATATCTAGTGGGATTTGGTTCCAAGATCTCCCAAAATCCATGTAATCTCCTATCCCATTATATACAATGGTATAGAAAAATGGTACCCCAAAAAGCAAAAAGTTTGCTTTTTGAGTAGTTAAATCCATGGATATGGCTGGATCCATGAGTATAGCTATTCTTTTTGTGGGGTGGTGGCATTGTGTCTTATTTTAATTTATTTATTTTGAATTTTATTATAAGCTGCCTTGAATCACATATTGGGAAAGGGTGAAATGTAAATATATAATAAAACCACAATGGCTGCCATGCATTAGCCAGTAACTAATATGGACCATCAATGGGAACCTCCTACAAGCTGTTAAAAAGAGACCTTTTTTTTCACCAACCTGATCAAGCACATCCTATCACTGAGAAAAAAAGTCAACAGTTTCTGAAGATAGCTATAATATCCTAACAGCACTGAATTCTATTTCTGGGGAAAGGAGATGATTTACCATTCCAAAACAACAGTTTGCTGGGCTGGGTTTGACAGCTATGGGAAGCGAATGTTGAATTCCTATGACTCAATCAAACTGACTTGGAGCTAAGCCAAAGGCCACTGAAAAATGAAGAAAAAGAAAGTGAGTTTTTCTTCACTGCCAGAATTGCAGCACAAAGGTCCCCAGAGAACCTTTTGCACCTTAAGCTGTATTTTGCATATATTGTATCAAAAAGGAAATGCACAGCCTGGTAAGGAAGAAGAGCACTGAGGAATTTGCTAGTTGAAGAGTTAATACTCTAATCAACCTTTGCAGAAGTATTCAGTATTAAAATAAATACAAAAGGCAAGAGGAACGAATGGTTCATAATTGAATTGGAAGACATAAATGGTAAATAAGGGACATTTCATAGGCACTATAATTGATCATTCAGACAGAGTGAGAACTGTTCCCGTCGCCAGCAGTAAGAGAACCAAGAGAAGATCAGGCTCAAAGGTCAGCAATGTATCATCTTGTAGGTGACTCAGCCCGGCAGCCAAAAGAGAACTCTGATGACACAAGCAAGGAAGCCAGGCCGGAGTTATAGTGTAAGGCCCGAAGATCAAGCACAGACTTCCAACAAGAGGATGGATGGAAGGCCAGTGCTGAATTGGAGACCGGCTTTGTACAACAAGGGTTGGACAAAGAGACAAATGAACCATTACTTCCTTTTTCTTGAATGTGATTTCTTCCTAAAAGAGTGAAAGATGCTAGAAATTGACCGCTCATCTCTAATTCCATGTGGGTGCTAGTGGGAGGGCATCACTGTGTTGTAAGAGTTTCCCTCTGCATAAATTCGGCAGTGCTATTTTGATGTATTGTCGAAGGCTTTCATGGCCAGAATCATTGGATTGTTGTAGGTTTCTTTGGGCTGTATGGCCATGTTCTAGAAGCATCCTCTCCTGACATTTCACCTGCATCTATGGCATGCATCCTCAGAGGTTGTTAGGACCTCTTTGCCTGCCTCAGTACTCATATTCTCCCCACATTTTCACCCACCCCCCAACAAAGAAAACCAATGACAAGAGGACACTCACACAGAATTGAAAAGATAGGCGCGACCGTGACTTCCCTGGAAGGACTGTGGAAATAAAGTATAGGAGTTACAACTCTCTTCCTTGGCAGGTTTTTTTAAAAAACCAATTCCCCCCAACATTTTGCCCCAAAGCATGTATTTCCAAAAGAGACCAAGAGTATTCCTGGACCCAATAAGACATCATGGTCTTTCTTTTCATGTCTGGAGCAGCTTGAGAAACTGCAAGTCTCTTCTGGTGTGAGAGAATTGGCCATCTGCAAGGACATTGCCCAGGGGAAGCCCGGATGTTTTTGATGTTTTGCCATCCTTGTGGGAGGCTTTTCTCATGTCCCAGCATGAGCTGACAGAGGGAGCTCCTCCGGATTCGAACCTCTGACCTATTGGTCTTCACTCCTGCCAGCACAAGGGTTTAACCCATTGTGCCATGGTAGGATGTTGTTATTACTGCTGTTGCGAAATAGTGCCCTTTGGCGGTTCTTGGAAGTATTTTGACTGGGATAGCATTGCTAGTGGATACTGAGAGCTGTTTGGATGTTTTTGGGGGGGGCGGGTAGGGGAAATTTTCCAGGCGTAGTCCTGAGATGACACAGGAAAAGCATTAAGTGCCAGAAAGTCTGGTAGTTGTTCTTTAGCTTCTCACCAGGATTGTGGGGCATGCCTACCTTTGAGATGAGTTCATCATGCTTGGCCAGGTGTGCCCGACAGTGGACACAGCTGTATGTACGGTGACACCGCGGCAGGTAACTGCGGAAAGTCTTGGTGGGGAGGCACGGTGCAGGTGGCACTGGCTCACAGCTAGGCATGACGGGCTGGAGAGCAATGCCCTGTCTAGGTGGAGGAGCTGGCGCCGTGCAGCCTCCACACAAGCGATCGCAAGTGAAGCAGCGGAGCAAGTTGGCTAGAGCCGTGTTTCAGAGAAGGGAAGTTTGGGGGGGCTGCAGTGCCAGGCCCCCCCGAGATGAGAACCAGACCGAAAGGGGAGTCACCTGCAGAGGAGAAGAAAAACCATGCAAATATCAAGCAAATCCCACTTCCTTTTCCCTATGTGTCAGATACTAAAGAAAGTGATCTCAATCTCTTATGATACTGGAAGCAATAACGGTTAGTGGCTTCCATACATTGGAGCAGCAAATCCATGCTGTGTTTTAGGCCTCATCCACACTGACCACGGGAGCTTGTTGTCTGGTTGCCACAGTTTGAAACTCTCTCTCTCTCTCTCTCTCTCTCTCTCTCTCTATATATATATATATATATATATATATACACACACATACATACAGACAGACAGACAGACACATCCATGCCATGTTTTAGGCCTCATCTATACTGATCATTTAATAAACTAGTATTGAATTTCGTTGTGCAGATGATTGCATAGGAACCAGTTTGAGGCCCAGATGATGACTGCACAAGCCACAGAGCATCAAAGACTTCTTTTGTGTGCCTTCGTGGGAGTTTGTTGTCTGGTTGCCACAGTTTGAAGCTAAGTACACACACACACACACACACATAAAAGGTAATCATTACAAATATTCTCACTTAATTTTATGTTGATTTCCTATTGTCTGAATTATTCCTGATGAATATGCATAATGGGTTGTTCTATACTGATATAACAAGCTAGCTTCAAACTGCATTAAAGGGTATGAGGAAGCTACCTAAGATACTGAACCCTTATTTTGAGAGTAGGGTGTTGAACTTTAGGTCTTTTAAAGGTTAGACTAAAACCAGGAGCAAATTCATGACATGGAAGCTGCCAACTGTCTCGTAGTTTTGTCTTTAACTGCATTATCCTATTCATTGATCTGCAATAAGAACAATTGGACCTTTGTTCCACAGTCACAATAAGTAACATATGTGAGTCCTCAAATTACCTGTAAAACAAAGTGGTGGGCGAGAGGGGATCTACCCAGTTTGTGCCAAGCTCAAGAGATGTGTTAAAAGAGAGCTATGCTCTGAATTAAGCCATTTTGGATACACAGAATTCAAACCCTTAGCTCAGCCTATTGTTCCTGTTTCGTGTAGTTCTTGCAAAGCTGAAGAGCGAAGAAGTTCATTGAAATCAGTTTTCTCTGTGAGCCAAAGAGTGCAGATGTCTCACATTATACATTGTTTATCCTCCCAACTTTGATCATAAGACAAGCCAAGGAAAAGCTGCTACTGGTTCTTGCTGTTGTTTAAACACACAATCGCATATATGCAACTCATGCCTGGGCTGAACAGTCACGGGTATGAGCCTGAGTTCTGTGGGATTGACTTGTGTTTTTGGCTTCTGCCATTATCACGTATGAATGAAAAAGCAATGAACTCTTTCATGTTCACTGGATTTAGAAACTTGCCTTGTTTCCTGCCCTCTTCCCACAGGCTCCCAGGTACCTGCAGCCATTTTAGCCTCCTGCCAGAACCCGAGGGTGCATCTACATTGGAATCAATGGAGTTTGACAAAGCTGCTTTAACCTGGGAATTGTTGTTTGTTTGGTTTGTGTCTGTGTGCGTGTCAGGAGTGACTTATTTATTTATTATTTATTTACTGCATTTATTGACCGCCGCTCTCAGCCCTAGGGCGACTCGCGGCGGTGCACAACATATAAAAACAGTTTACAAAAGGGCAAAACAGGAAATCAATACAACAATAATACACTATAATCTAGTTACACTAAATAATCCGCTCCGTCACATCATAGAATCATAACCAATATCGTAATCCGTATTCCGTTCCAGTTGTCAATTACCAGTTGCCGTAGCGCTCAGTTGAATGCCTTCTCAAATAGCCAGGTCTTCAGGCTCTTACGGAAGGACAGAAGGGAGGGCGCCTGTCTTGAGAAACTGCAAGTCGCTTCTGGTGTGAGAGAATTGGCCGTCTGCAAGGATGTTGCCCAGAAGACTCCCGAATGTTTTGATGTTTTACCATCCTTGTGGGAGGCTTCTCTCATGTCCCTGCATGGGGAGCTAGAGCTGACAGAGGGAGCTCAACCTGCTCTCCCCGATTTGACCCGCTAGTCTGTCGGTCAGCAGTCCTGCTGGCACAAGGCATTAACCCAGTGGTTTTCAACCTGTGGGTCCCCAGATGTTTTGACCTTCAACTCCCAAAAATCCTAACAGCTGGTAAACTGGCTGGAATTTCTGGGAGTTGTAGGTCAAAACACCTGGGGACCTACAGGTTGAGAACCACTGCTTTAACCCACTGCGCCACTGTTTGCTGAGTTCCCAGTACTCTTTGGCAGAGGAAGCTAGAGACCTTGTAAAACTACAACTCCCATGATTCCATAGCATTGAGCCATGGCAGTTCATGTGGTGTCAAACTGCATTAAATGGACCCCAAGGCATTGGACTTTTATTTTGGAGGAAGAGACCCCCTTCTGGTATGGAACTGAGGTAGTGCCACACAACAAGGGCTTGATGGTGTGTGGACTCATCACGACTGACCCTGTGTGCCAAGGCGACGTCTCCCATTCCCCAAATCAGCCATTGCCATTGCCAGGACCCTCTGACAGCCTCCCTGGACACGCCCCCTTTCGTGACTCGCCTCCTCCTCTCGGCTCGCGGGAGCCCCCTAGCGGCCTCCCACGGAAATCCCACCGAGCCCCGTCCATTCAAAGGCGCCCACTGGCCCCCTGGCTGAATGGACCCCAGGCCCCGCGGGCGCTCCCCCTGGCGGCGGGAAGGCGGCACGGCGCCTCTCCCGGGCAGGCTTTCGGGGAACTGTCCTCTGGGCCAGGGGCGCTTGTTGTGTGCCCCCCCCTCGAGGTTATTTTGGTCCCTTCCGGCTTTTCGTGACGATGCAGCCAGAAGCATCCCAGCAAAACATTCTCAAAATAGGCTTAGAAGGATCAAGGAGAAAAGAGGGAGAAAGAGAGAGAAAAGGAAGGGGGTTTCATGGACCCCACGCGCGGGTGGCCGCAAAGTCTGACTCGGGTGGGAAATAAACGCGGGGTTGAAGTTCCCTTTGGGGGGGGGTTAAGGAGAGAAAGGAGCCGGTGTAGAGGAAAGGGCCCCACGGAGACCAAGGGGACACGAGTGGGGGGACTGGGGAAGGGGAAAGTTTGCAATGGAGGAAAAGGCAGCAGCATCGGAGGAGCCTTCTCCTCCTCGCTTCCCTCCTCCTCCTCCCTTTGCCCGGCTCACCTTGAAACCCGGTCCCTTGGGAGCGTCACGAGTGGGGGCCTCCTTCTCCGCCCCGCGGGCCCTGCGTGGGGTCGCGCCAAGGAGAGCGCCGCTTCTTCCTCACCGGCGGCGGCTTCGGTGCGCCCTCTCTAGCCGAATGTGGCGGTGTGTTGTGGATCCGCATCATAACATTGTGAGTCATGCATCCCGCCCGCCCTCTTCCTCTCCTCCCCCTCCCTCGCCTCCTGCCACAGCTACGTCACAGACACGGGGGGCAAGAGCATGGGGGGGCAGCCAGGCAGGAAGAGGGGAGTCGGAAGCTTCCCAAAAGATGGGGCAAAAGAGGGCGAGAAAGGGCCCCTCGCCAAGGTGAAGCGCGGGGGGAAATAATCCGACCCACGTCGCGCGTCCCCGTGGCAAAACTCTGACGCAGGGAGAAAGGAAGGAAGAGTGCAAAAGAGGGCGAGAAAGGGCCCCTCGCCAAGGTGAAGCGCGGGGGGAAATAATCCGACCCACGTCGCGCGTCCCCGTGGCAAAACTCTGACGCAGGGAGAAAGGAAGGAAGAGTCACAAATCTGCAGCCTCACTCTCGGGGATGAAATGCCCAGCAGCTGAGCCTGGAGACTGAGGAGGGACGCAGCCCCGACACGCGAGGACCTTGAGGTTCCTGCGCCACCCTTGACCCGCGTTCAACCTTGAGACGCCCCAAACCCCGGCCGACCTGAAGAGGAACCTGTTCCCAAAGCAGATCGAGGTGGAAACCAATCTGGGAGTCAAAAACATGGGGCCAAAGAGTACTCCCCACTCATGCCCCCCTTCAAAAAAAGTTCTGGCATTGATTTCTACAAGCCAGAGCTGTAGCCATTCACCAAGCAGCAGCACTAACTAGTTCTCTTGATCCTTCTATAGAGAAACTTTTCTCTTTAGCATGCGTCTATACCAGGCCTGGGCAAACTTGGGCCCTCCCTCCAAGTGTTTTGGACTTCAACTCCCACCATTCCTAATAGCCTCAGGCCCCTTCCTTTTTCCCCTTAAGCGGCAGAGGGAAAAAAGAAAGGGGCCTGAGGCTATTAGGAATGGTGGGAGTTGAAGTCCAAAACACTTGGAGGGAGGGCCCAAATTTGCCCAGGCTTGATCTATACCCTAGCCCAGTGTTTCTCAACCTTCCCAATGCCACAACCCCATAACACAGTTCCTCATGTTGTGGTGACCCTCAACCATAATATTATTTTTGTTGCTACTTCATAACTGTGATTTTGCTACTGTTATAAATCAAGTAAATGGCTGATATGCAGGATGTATTTTCATTCACTGGACAAAATTTGGCACACATACCCGATACGCCCAAATTTGAATACTGGTTTCGATTTTGTCATTTGGGAGTTGTAGTTGCTGGGATTTATAGTTCGCCTACAATCAAAGAACATTCTGAACTCCACCAACGATGGGATTGAACCAAACTTGGTACACAGAACTCCCATGATGAACAGAAACTACTGGAAGGGTTTGCTGGGCACTGATCTTGAGTTTTGGAGTTGTAGTTCACCTGCATCCAGAGAGCATTGTGGACTCAAACAATGATGGATCTGGACCAAACTTGGCACACTCAATATGCCTAAATGTGAACACTGGTGGAGTTTGGGGAAAACAGACCTTGACATTTGGGAGTTGTTGTTGCTGGGATTTATAGTTCCTCTACAATCAAAGAGCAATCTGAAACCCACCAATGATAGAATTGGGCCAAACGTCCCATACAGAAACTCCATGCCTTGAAGGGATTAACTGGCATGAGCCTCCCTCCAGCCTCACACGCTCTCCCTCACCCACACATGCGCAACACACTGTCATGTACAGAGCACGTCTACTCTCTCCTCCCCCGCTTGGAGTCTCAGAAACAGCCCTCCCCTCGGCTGAGAGGCCGGCCATACCTAATCGTAAAGGACTGTGGGAGTTGTAGTCTAAAACATCACCCGGGCTAAAGGTTCCTCTTCTGCATTAAAATTGAAAATGTGTTTTGACAGGGAATCAGACTGAAACATGAGAAAGGGGCAAATACAGATGTACAAATATAGTTCAAATATTTGGTTGCTAATTTTTGTTTTCATTTTTTTTTTGTTGTGTTAGTTTATTCCCCCCCCCCCCCCCAATATTAAGAATGCTATTCTTTATTGACTCTTTCAGTCCTTGGATACTTATGTTGGGAATAGAGAAACATCTGGACATGGTGTGTTAAATCTGTCTTAACATCCAGTTCACGACGACATTTTGTTGTCTGAAGCAACCTCTGCTTCCTGTTTCAATTGTTGATGAGACTCAATCTTACTTTATCACTCATGCCTGAGATAATATCCTCCCTCACATACAAAGGCAGCATGCTAATTTTGGGGGTACAGTGAAGATCACAAATGTCTTGCCTCCATACACACTGTCTTCTGTGTGATATCCTGAACTTTTTTTGTGTGCTAGGAATGGGGCCTTTGTGGCCTGACCGTATAGATAACAGAGAAATCTCCCTATCCACAGTGATATTTAGTTTCTTTGTAGCATTCTGAAATACAGTATAGACCTCTATGCTCTATAGTTTTCAGGACCAGCGTCAAACTTGATGAGCCCTATTTGAACAAGCTCATGATAAATTAGACAAATGGCAAGATCTGTTATACCAGTAGCTTCTGTCTAAATTGTGTTGTGAGATTGCTTTAATTACAGTGTTATAATAGCAGAGTCAAGTTCAGCTTGTTGCATATATACAAATAATGCAAGGTATACATGTTTTACTCCTTCACTTGTGCTTTGGCAACTCTTTGTTGAACTTGCTTCTCCTAGAGATAGCATTCAAACACTGTGTTGTCCTTGATTGTACCCACATAAGTTCAGCCGGATCATTCCAAAATATATTTTTATTCATAGGGGAACATGGATTGGTCTTATCTAAATTGGATATATTCTTTTTATTTTGACTCAACACCTAGTTGAGTTGGGTAGAACTTGCTCTTTCAAGTTAATTGAGCTTGTTCTGCCAGTCTGTCCTACAATTGTTACAAAGATGTTGGTTTGGGCCTCAGCTGCTGTTGATTTCCTCTCATTTTAGTCTTCCTGTGTGTGTCAACAGTAGTGGAAGCTTCTGCTTTCATGGCTCCCCCCACCCCCCACCCCCAAAAAGAGACATTGATCCTTGTATTCTCTTCTTCAGACAGTGCCTTGGCCACAGCTAAACTGACTGAGATTCAATCAAAACAAACAAACTAATTGACCTTGCTGAGTGCCTAGAAAAGTGGAAGCATTGTGAACATTTTTTCTTGTGACATTTTCTGCTGTCTTTGTAATGTTCTGTTTTACCATATTATCAGTGTTCTGGTTTATAGTGTGAATGCCATATTCCCTCAAACTTGAATCTGTATTAAGTCTGGATAGGAGGGATAATTGTTTCCTAAGCAGCAGTTGCTATCACATACAAATTAGAGTTTAACTGGTCCATTGTCTAGATTTTCACTCTATGTACAGAAGTTATGATATAATATATAGAGTGCACTACTTTATTCTAGACCCTTTCTGACTTTTCCTGTTGCTATTCCTTTTTTCAGCTCCCTAATTTCCCTAGAACTTTTTAGTCAACATACTCTTACCCTTCCAAAACCTGATGGACTGCTAAGGTTATTTCAACAGTAATATTTGACAGCATGTGTTCTGCCATAAGTACAGGAAATCTGGAGTCTGCACTCTAGTTCTGGTTGTACATCTGAAGCTTTACAAAATAATCTCCCTGCAAAGTAGGAATGTAGCAGAGAGTTTAGTCCAGAGGCACTGGCTATATCAGATAAACCCTTTCAGCACCTGTTATCTGTGTTGAAATGCATCTGACTCCCCAGTCAGATGAATTCAGCTGTCTACCCAGATGGTTAAATGCACATCCAACGCCATTTGGGATAAATTAAATATCAATGTTATGCTACAACTTGAAGAGCAAATAAAAAGGTATAAATATTCAGGGAAGAAAGGAATGGAATCAGACATATAAAGCAATATAAAGTAATACCGAAGGATATTTTTGAAAGGGAGGGAAGGGACAACAAATTAAATATCTGTGGAGAATCAGATTGGAGAGGATATCTTCTTGGGACAGCCTATCAGACACAATACAAGGATCAGGCTAGATAGATAATTTGCTAACAAATGTGTACAAAAGGAGCAACACAGCTGTAATAACAAACCTAGGGCAATAAGATATGGCACACAGAGCTCAGTCTTTCAACTCTTCCTGTAATATCTGCAACCTGAGACAGCCATCTCATTCTTCCTAAGTACAGGGCCAACCCTATACTACATGTGTGTGCAGGTGTGCGTGCAAAATCTTGTTGCAAAGGAATGATTTGAAGGCAAGATCATTCTTGTTGAAGATAAATGAATGTATTACTTCAAAATTTTCAGCCCCCATATTCTCCCAATCCTTTCGTTCCTACACATTACTTCTGCAGCAGGAATGCTGAATCCAGCAAAACTTTCCTGGATGAGATTTCTTTGTAAGTGGCAGCTTTGCATTTTTCAAATTATCTCTGGCCCCATCTACAATATATTACAGGCAGTTCCTATGTTACAAAATTCCAACTTGCAAATGACTCACAGTTACAAACAGGGGTGAGACAACTGGAAGTGAGAGAAATCTATCCCTTGGAAGAGAAACTCATTCCTGGAAGAGTTCTCATGTGGAAAAGGTGCCTCTACTGAAGCTTTATAACCAATCCTTGTTTCCTCAAGCCAATAATTTCAAGACCCAATTGTCACAGGGACAGAAAAGAGGTGAAATCTTCTGAACGGGCACAGACAGCAAAACACTATGCTATCCAAAGCTTTTATATATATATATATATATATATATATATATACACACACACACACACACACACACACACACACACACACAATCCAAAGCTTATATATATGCTATATGTATGCTTATATGCTATCCAAAGCCCACACACAAATATACACTCACATGTGGCTAGAGTTACACTTTAAAAAGTGCCTGTTCCAACTTACAAATTAAATTTAAGAAAAAAAAACTACAGAACCTATGTTGGTTTATTTATTTATTTACTATATTTATATCCCACCTTTCTCAACCCCAAAGGGGACCCATGTTGTTCATAATCTGAGGACTGCCTATTTATAGTCTGTGTAGGTTCGTATAATATAGGCTGGATCTACACTGTCATATAATCTGGATTATCTGATTTTACATTGATTATATGAGTCTACATTGCCCATATACTGTACTGGTAATATAGTTTGCAACTGCATTATATGGAGCATTATATAGTAGATGTATCAAATCTGTGGAAGGGCCTTTAGTCGCTGCCTAGCTCTGTAGATCACTGTGACTACTAGGTCAGAAGAGAGCTATGACTATTTCAGATAAGATACCTATTTGTGTTTTATCCCAGTTGTGGGATGAAGTATTGTTACGAAGTACATCTATCTGACCACTGAGACTACTTCCACGCAGCAGAATAAAATCCCACATTTTCTGCTTTGAACTGGAATATATGGCAGTGTGGACTCAGATAATTCAGCTCAAAGCAGATATTGTGGGATTTTCTGCCTTGATATTCTAGGTTATATGGCTGTGTGGAAGGGCCATGAGAACCTGCAGAAAAATGGTACTGTAACTTGAGTTATACTCAACTGTTTGGCCTACAATTCCCCTGAATGCTCCTTGCAGACATAAAATTCTCAGATAACATTAATTCTATGAGGCAACAACATGTGAGTGGGGAGTTGGGAGCCTTTCCCTTGTATACAAATGACATATTATGAGATTGGCTTCAATGCTTCGTAAAAACAGTAAAGTTAATTATCCCAAATTAATTAAATGAAAAGGGGAGTACTGACGCCTTTTGAAAGCCAGAAAATTTCTGTATGACGTTGACTTCAATCCATGAAAGCTTATGCCATGATAAACATCTGCAAATATATGAGGTGTTTCAAGACTTGTGTGAGCTGCAGCGTCTACTCAGCTTCAATTAGTCATCAAATATTTAAAGGACATGATACGGCATTTTTTGGTCAAACAGCAACACAATAAGATAGTTCTGAAAAATTAAATTTTAAACGGAGAGGAACAGTGGTTCCCAGAGGCAGGCCTGGCTCCTGGAATCTATCTGGAGGCATCCCAGTTTCACAGTCCTCTGCAGACAAAGAGCTCTAATCATCTATTTCCAGTTGATGAACCGAGTGATGCATCTACACCAGGCATGGGCAAACATGGGCCCTCCAGGTGTTTTCAACTTCAACTCCCACAACTCCTAACAGCCTCAGGCCCCTTCCTTAAGTGGCTGATGGGGGAAGGAAAAGGGCTCAAGGCTGTTAGGAATGATGGGAGTTGAAGTCCAAAACATCTGGAAGGCCCAAGTTTGCCCATGCCTGATTTATGCTGTAGAATTAATGCAGTTTGATACCACTTTACCTGCCTTGGCTCAATGCTATGGGATCCCAAGACTTGTAGTTTGGTGAGGCACCAACCTTCTTTGGCAGAGAAGGCCAAAGACCTTGTAAAACTACAAGCCCCAGAATTTTATAGCATTGAGCCAAGGCCGTTAAACCGGTGTCAAACTGCTTTAATTCTATAGTGTAGCTGCACCCTGAGTTAGGTAACTAACAGCCATCCTGAAGGGTCTTTGGTGGGCCTGACAAATCGGGAAAGGGCATTTTCTGCTTTGAAGCATGACAGAAAAACATTTATTTATTCATTTATGACCTTTATATGCCGTATTATATTGTATTACATTATATTATCAATATTATATGTGTATACATTATTAGCACAGCACAATATTAGTATTATGTTATATTGTACTGTGCCACTATACTGGAATATTATTAGTAATAATACATGTAATATAAAATATTATTCTTATATTGTATTATTATTAGTATTATATTACATGCCCCCTTCCTTTCCTTTCCTGGTTTTCAACTCCCAGAAATCCCAGCCAGATTTGATTATTTGATAGGTCCTCAAATGTGACTCTTGGGATGCTGACCATAAATCCACACTGGAGGACCTAGCAATTCCTAGACAGGTTTTTGTAGGTTTGACACCACTATACCTGCCTTGGCTCTGTATGTTGTTGTAGGTTTTTTCGGGCTGTATGGCCATGGTCTACAGGCATTCTCTCCTGACGTTTCGCCTGCATCTATGGCAAGCATCCTCAGAGGTGTTGAGGTCTGTTGGAACTAGGAAAAGGGGGTTTATATATCTGTTGAATGACCAGGGTGAGATAAAGGACTCTTGTCTGCTGGAGCTAGGTGTGAATGTTTCAACTGACCACTTTGATTAGCATGCAATGGGCTGACTGTGCCTGGAGCAAACTTTTGTTGAGAGGTAATTAGATGTCCCTGCCTGGTTCCTCTCTGTTGTTGTGCTGTTGCAATTTTAGAAATTTTTAATACTGGTAGCCAGATTTTGTTTATTTTCATGGTTTCCTCCTTTCTGTTGAAATTGTCCACATGTTTATGTATTTCAATGGCTTCTCTGTGTAGTCTGACATGGTGGTTGTGAGAGTGGTCCAGCATTTCTGTGTTCTCAAATAATATGCTGTGTCCAGGTTGGTTCATCAGGTGCTCTGCTATGGCTGACTTCTCTGGTTGAAGTAGTCTGCAGTGCCTTTCATGTTCCTTGATTGGTGTCTGGGCAATGCTGCGTTTGGTGGTCCCTATGTAGACTTGTCCACAGCTGCATGGTGCACGGTAGACTCCTGCCTTCGACAATACAATTCCTAGACAATTGGACTCAGGCTAAACCAGGTATGGGCAAACTTTGACTCTCCAAGTGTTTTGGACTTCAACTCCCACACTTCCTAACAGTCCACCGGCTGTTAGGATTTGTGGGAATTGAAATCCAAAACACCCAGAGGACCTAAGTTTGCCATGTCTGGGCTAAACCATATAACACAGTGGTTCTCAACCTGTGCGTTCCAGGTGTTTTGGCCTACAACTACCAGAAATCCCAGCCAGTTTACCAGCTTTTAGGTCCACAGGTTGAGAACTACTGCCGTGGCCGATTCGGAAACTACATTTCCCAAGAGGCCGAGCGAATGCTCACGGATTTCTTTTTGCCGCCCCCCCTAATTTGCATAGCGGAGGGAGCTGCCTTTCCTACCCCGTCACCAAACGACGAGGCGTTCCTAAAGCCAAGGCGCCTCACCAACATTGTCCAATCACCGAGTGACGTCACATCCGGGGCACGAGGCGCTTCCGTTTCCCGCCCGGATCCTGGAGTGGAGGAGCGCGAGGGCCCCTGAGGATTCCCTAGGTGGGTGGCTCTCCGCGGCCCGTCGAGGCCGGGGCTCCGTTCCCATGGAGACGCGGCGAGGCGAGGAGGGCGGGAGCGGCGCGGCCCTCTTCCGTGCTTCGCCGGGGCGGTTTCCCCACTGGCCCTGGCCCACTCCAACCAACAGATGGGATGGAACGGGGGCTGTTCCCACACAGTGGAAATAATGCAGTGTGACATCACTTCAACTGCCACGGCTCAATGCTATGGAATCATGGGAGTTTCCGTTTTACGGTGCCTTTCACCTTCTCTGCCAAAGAGTGGTGGTGCCTCGCCAAACTACAACTCCCAGGATTCCATAGCACTGACCATGGCAGTTAAAGGGCTATGAAACTGCATTCATTCTACAGTGTAAATGCAGTACAAAGCTGAATCCACACAGCAGAGTTATAGTACTTTGACACCATCTTAACAGCCTATTGAACTCCTGTGGGATTTGTAGTTTTGTGAGATATTTACTTTTCTCTGCTAGACAGCTCTGGTGTCTTAAGTAAAGGGAAAGGTTTTCCCCTGACGTTAAGTCCAGGGTTGCTGCTCATATCCACTTCTAAGCCAAAGAGCCGGCATTGTCCATAGACACCTCCAAGGTCATGTGGCTGGCATGACTGCAAAGAGTGCTGTTACCTTCCCTCCAATTGATTTATTCACATTTCCGTGTTTTCAAACTGCTAGGTTGGCAGAAGCTCACGCCACTCCCCAGATTCGAACCCACAACCTTTCAGTCAAGAAGTTTAGCAGCTCAGCGGTTTACCCCACTGCGCCACTGGGGGCTCCCTGAACTAGATTAGGTGCATTTTAAGGAAGGGGCCTGAGGCTGTCGGGAATTGTGGGAGTTGAAGTCCAAAACACCTGGAAGGCCCAAGTTTGCCCATACCTTGCTCTAGTGTCTTACCAAACTACAAATCCAAGATTCCATAGGGTGGTGCCTTGGCAGTTAAAGTGAGGTCAGCCTGCTATAAGTCTGCAGCACGGATGGTTTCTGAAACCCTGGGAAATAGTCCTTTAGTGAGTGACAAGATAGATCACTCATGTAGCTCTCCAAATTGATGCTTGACCACATCTCCCATCAGCACTCACGCTTCTGGCAGATATGAAAGGAATCCTCATCCAATCATACGTGGAGGGCAGGAGTTTCCCATTCCTGCATCTACAGGATAAATTATATTGTGTGTTGTTGAAGGCTTTCATGGCTGGAATCACTGGGTTGCTGTGAGTTTTCCAGGCTGTATGGCCATGTTCTAGACGCATTCTCTCCTGACGTTTCACCCACATCTATGGCAGGTGTCCTCAGAGGTTGTGGGGTCAACCTCTGAGTATGCCTGCCATAAATGTGGGCGAAACATCAGGAGAGAATGCTTCCAGAACATCTACCCTTTTGTTTTTTAACATTAAACTTAGAATGGTGTTAGCACCATAGGAAAAGAATGTTTCAGCATGGAAAGTTGCTGGCCATTCCCTTGAGTGGGAAGAACAGGCTTTTGTCCCTTCATTCCTTTCTTTGAACTGTTCTAGTAGTAAAATGAGATGACTGTGGAATGGTCCAACTAACCTGCCCTGACCCAATGCAAACTCCTGCAAAGAAAGGTTTACAACACATGATCCATTTTATTGTGTGTTACAAACAGAGAATGGGAATGATCACAACTTTTTCTTCTCATGGTCTTTACAAGGAAAAATGTAGTGTAATAAAATGCCTAGGGCATTAACATCAAAGAGAAAGATATGTTCCCAAACTTGTTCAATAAGATGGGAAAAACCTGTCTAGCCAAGATCTGATTATCAGTTAAACCAAATTTCCTGCTAAATATTCTTGATTACAATTCCCATCTGCCCCAGCTGAGAAAGCATGAATTAGTCCTTAAATATAAAAGCTACATTTGTTCAGCCTTTGAAAAATACAATTGGCCCTCCACTTTTGTGATTTTTATCTTCTACAGATTTGATTATTTGTGGATTTGATGGGTCCTCAAATGTGACTTTCAGGGAAGCTGATCATAAAGCCACATTGGAGGACCTAGCAATTCCTAGACAATTGGACTTTCAGGCTAAATCAGGCATGGGCAAATTTTGGCCCTTCAGGTGTTTTGGATTTCAACTCCCACAATTTCTAGCACCCTACTGGCTATTAGGAATTGTGGCAGTTGAAGTTCAAAACACACGGAGGGCTGAAGTTTGCCCATGCCTGGGCTAAACCATATGACAGTTTTTGTTTGTGGTTTTTCCATTTTCATGTTGGGAGTGGGAGAGCTACAATACTCATCCCATCAAATGTGGAGGAATGACTGAATTTGCTTTTAGTACATTTTTTGTGTTGTCATAGTTAAAGCTGTATATAAAATGGAACATGTGGAAGTAAAGAATTCTTAATATTTTTGCATGCCATTCAACAAGAGTGTATCTCTTGTACTTACAAGCTAATTAAATGGTTCATATTTTGTTTGTATAGAAATTACAAATAAAACAAGATGGCGGAGGAAGCCGGGGATGAAAAGAAACTGGTAGCTAAGTTTGAACTGGAAAGAGAGACAGAGCTCCGTTTCGAAGTTGAAGCCTCACAAACTGTCCAGCTGGAGCTTATGACAGGCATGGCAGAGATTTTTGGCACTGAACTGACACGCAACAAGAGATTCACCTTTGATGCGGGTGCAAAAGTGGCTGTATTCACCTGGCATGGCTGTTCAGTGCAGCTGACTGGCCGGACTGAAGTAGCCTATGTTTCTAAAGACACTCCCATGCTGTTGTACCTTAACACCCACACAGCTCTGGAGCAGATGCGATGGCAGGCAGAGCGTGAAGATGAACGGGGGCCTCGAGTTATGGTGGTGGGTCCCACAGACGTAGGGAAGTCAACTGTATGCCGCCTGCTCCTGAATTACGCAGTCCGGCTGGGCCGCCGACCCACTTTTGTGGAGTTGGATGTAGGCCAAGGCTCTATCTCTATCCCAGGCACAATGGGGGCACTCTATATTGAGCGACCTGCAGATGTCGAAGAAGGATTCTCAGTTCAGGCCCCTCTGGTCTATCACTTTGGGTCTACAACACCTGGCACAAACATCAAGCTCTACAACAAAGTGAGTACCATGTTTGACGTGTGTATAATATGATGAGTTTCTGTATGCATTCTGATCCCCAAAGTCATTCAGGGCAAAGCGAAGGGCATGGGGTTTCAGACCCTTATTAGAAGGAATGAGCTGGAGAACCTCCATACACAGCAGGGTTTGCTATAACAGTCTAAAGCAGTGGTTCTCAACCTGTGGGTCCCCAGATGTTTTGGCCTTCAACTCCCAGAAATCATAACAGGTGGTAAACTGGCTGGGATTTTTGGGAGTTGTAGGCCAAAACACCTGGGGACCCACAGGTTGAGAACCACTGGTCTAAAGAGCCCTGCCATCATGACCATTCAAGTCTGATGTCCAACATTTCCTTATTTCCACTGCTTGATCGCATTAGGATGTGAAGGGATAACTTTCATATTGTGCTCAGATAGACGTCAGGGGTGATAGTTAGCAGTAGTATTTTCCTGTTCACCTCCGATTTCCACATGTTGGGGTTGAACAATAAAAACTTATCACCATACTGTTCCTTTTGCGAGTTTTCTTGTACAAACGTGATTGGTGGCAGTTAGAAAAAGAACAACGGCCTGACATTAAAGCAAAAGTAGAAATCTTGGGCCCAATCCATCCCCCTGAGGGTCCCCAGGTGGTCATATGCCTTTCTCCATGATTATATCATTTCCCATTTTTCCCCACCCTTATTTATTTACTATATTTATATCCCGTTTTTCTCGACCCCAAGGGTGACTCAAGGCGGCTTACACCCTTGTCCTAGAGCTCCTCTTTGCTCTCAGCGTATTCTTATGAAAGATAAATGCAGTTTCTCTCCCATATTGTTTAAATGTGTCTGTTTACACAAACAATGTGGGAGGGGAAAGATAGCAAAGATATCTTGATAGAAGCCTTTGTTTTCTAGAATTTTGTAAGGCGGAGAGTCCAATTATGTATTTAGGTAACCAGTAATTATGCCTGTGAGAAGTATGAAACTCTTTCCACAGTGATTCTGGAGGCATATCTGAAAGCATAGATCTGTGTATTCATTTATTTACTGACTTCACTTGTATACCGCTTTTCTCACCCCAGTGCGGGATGCAAAATGGTTTCCAACATAATTATGACAAAATGTAATGCTCATGTATAGAAACCTATGCCATGGTGCTAAAATTATTGCTCTCTAATCAATATTTTCTTTTTCATAATCTGGTTAAACTGGTTCTTCATGCATTTGTGTTCCAGTCCTGATTAATTCAGAGTCTGATTCAGGGCTGCCTAAACCCATTGATTTTAACAGGCTTGCCGATGAGTAATTTCAGGACTAGGCTGTTGATGGATGATACATTTAACTAATAAATCTATGCAAGGACAGTAGTCTAATGTTCATACTTAATTCATAAATAGTAATATTTATTTACAAATTAGATTCAATGGGAGTTAAAAATCATGCATTAACATTTGGATCATTTTCATTTTTACAGTCATAAGATTAATAATAATCCCCATAACTTGGAAACCATTTCCAAGTCCTGCTATCTCACCTTTATGTCCCTTTCTTGGACATCCTTAACTTCACCATGCAGTTAAATCACCCAACATGAAGCATGGTAAAGAAAGCGCCATTAAAAGGAAATGTTCTAGAAATAAATGCCGATGATGATGATGATGATGATCTACAATGAAAGTACAAGAGCTTGGATCTACTTAGTTTCAAAAACATCAGATGAATTTGCAAACATGTTACAATGCATAATGGCCTTTTGAGATTACTGACAAACAAACACAAATTATGTTTAACCCTTTAAATGTTGCAAAGAGCTATGTTTCCAAATTATATAGCTACTTGATTGATGCAAAGCACAAGTAAATGATGGGTATAATGCCAGCTAGAAATTAGTTTATAAATTAGCTCCAATGGAATTGGCTGTAGGTGTTCCTCCTTTTAAAATTACTTTCTTCACAATTATATGAATACTCTCCAAGATCATTCATCACTGTAACATGAACTGATATTGCTCATGAACTGGAGAAACTATGGAAAAGAGGAATCTTTAATCCACGTGTGGCTGTGTTTGCTCCCCAGCTCACAGTGCTTGGAGCAAATATTTTCCTCTTAAACCACTAAAATAGCAGTGACTGCCATTGTTGTCTGTGTAATTTAGTGATAATGAGAATTTTGTTCACAAGACATATCTTTTTCTTATCTGCTACAACATATTTAGAGATTACTGGGTGCTGGAAAAATCTTGATGGCCATTGTGTTAAATGGTGGCTAGATCATGTATGAACAAAGGTGGTAAGGCAGCAGGAGTTATAAACAGAACAGACAATTTTCAGGTATTTAGTCCCATTTTTTATTTTTGCGGACAATGACCCTTTGCTGTATGGCAAACTAGTACAGTGTATGAAGTACTAGATTTGTTGCTTTCATCTCAGTTTATAAATTCAAATCAAACAATTTTTTAAATTTACATTTCTTGGTTAATATCCACCTAGTATAGTGATTTCAGCATGGCATAACAACTCTGAGAGACGAAGGATGCACTTACACTGTAAAATTAATGCAGTTTGACACTTTTACTATCATAGCTTAATGCTATGGGATCCTGTAAAACTACACCTCTCATTAGTCAATAACATAGAGCCATGGCATTTAAAGCGGTGTCAAACTGCACTAATTCTACAGTATAGATGCACCCTAGGTGTGAACAATGGCTTTGGCCGAACTTTGCCAGTGAGGCCAAAGAAAGAAAGAGAGAAGGAAAGGAAGGAAGGAAGGAAAGAAAGAACAAAGGGCCGGAGTGGGCTCATCATAAAACAGAAATGACTTCAAGGCACACAGCAAGAAGTCTGTGGATGTTTGGCTGCTACTTGTTACTTAGGTCCTCAAAATGTTCTATTTTTCATGTTGTTCTTGCAGGGTATAAATAACGTTTATAATAATAATAATAATAATAATAATAATTATTATTATTATTATTATTATTATTATTTGTTAAGTTATATCATGCTTATAACTGAAAATATTATATGTTTGTGAGACCTCCAGAGAGAAAAACTTTCAAAGGGGGCCAGCTGGTTATTTTTTTTATAGTTTTCTGTTAATGAAGTTCTGATTCTTCATCTCTGCAGATTACATCTCGCTTGGCTGATGTATTTAACCAGCGCTGTGAGGTGAACCGCCGTGCTTCAGTCAGTGGCTGTGTCATCAATACCTGTGGCTGGGTGAAGGGGTCTGGATACCATGCACTTGTTCATGCTGCTTCTGCCTTCGAAGTTGATGTTGTAGTAGTGCTGGATCAAGAGCGCCTTTACAATGAACTGAAGCGGGATTTGCCTCACTTTGTCCGGACAGTGCTGCTCCCCAAATCTGGTGGAGTGGTGGAGCGTTCCAAAGACTTCCGGCGAGAGTTCCGTGATGAACGCATACGTGAATATTTCTATGGTTTCCGCGGGTGCTTCTACCCCCATGCCTTTGATGTCAAGTTCTGCGATGTGAAGATATACAAGGTGGGAGCTCCCACTATCCCAGATTCATGCCTGCCCCTGGGCATGTCACAAGAGGACAACCAGCTAAAGCTAGTACCGGTCACACCTGGCCGTGACATGGTACACCACCTACTAAGTGTTAGTACTGCTGATGGCACTGATGAGAACATTTCTGAGACGAGTGTGGCTGGTTTCATTGTAGTCACTGGAGTGGATCTTGAACGCCAGGTCTTCACAGTGCTTTCACCAGCGCCTCGGCCATTGCCCAAGAACTTCTTGCTCATCATGGACATTCGTTTTATGGATCTCAAATAGTGCCATCACTGGCAGGAAAAGGCCAGACTTCACCAAGCCATTGTTAGCTCCAGTATGAACAAATCATTTGAACTGTTTTTTATGCTCCTTCCTGTTTTTCTTGGGTTTTTAAAGGAAACTCAGAACCAGAGTTAGAATTACAAAAGATGAAGCAAAAACGATCTTGGAGTGTGACCTCAAAACTGCTGTAAGGAACAAAAGCAATGTCTGCTAGCAACTTCTTTTATTCCCATTATTCCTCTAAAATTTTATTCCCCCTAAAATTTAAATATAAAATAAACTGAGATATTTCCTAACATTGTCATTGTACCTTCTGAAAATGATCTTGTTGTAGAGATGGCAAAAACATTGATTTTTCAAAACTTAAATAAATTTCAAAATATTGATATTTTAATGTTTATAAATAAATATTAATTTTAGTATTATAAAAACCTCTCATATGTGCATAGCTATAGTGAGTAGAAGATGTTGGGTACTATGAATGGAAATTCTCCACTATCTTTTTTCCTGGAAAGGATGATGACTACCATGGGAATTAGGTCCTTCCTCTGAGCCTGGAACTCCTTAAATCTTGAATCCTGAGGTTGGGTCTCTGTCATTAATGCTCTGATACTCCTATGTCAGGGAAGTATTTCACAAAGAAAATTAAATAAACAAATTAGTATTTCAAAGGCACAGGAGCCTGCATTTGTGGTATTTAGGGCTGCAAGAACAAGGCAATGCAGACCCCTTCTACACTGCCATATAAAATCCAGATTATCTGCTTTGAACTGGATTATATGGCAGCGTAGACTCATATAATCCAGTTCAAAGAAGACAATGCAGATTATCTGCTTTGATAATCTGTATTATATTGCAGTGTAGAAGGGGCCGTAGAATTCAGCATCTTCCAGGGTTAAGAGTTTTAAGAAGGAGAGAATCTAGCACCATGAAGAGGAATATCATGAAAAAGAAGACACACCTCTTTAATTTAATCTTTGAATATGAAACAATCTTCAATGAATGAACAAATAGTTTCTGCATGACTTCACTTCCCATTTTCTATACAATATGTAGGCTTTTAGCACTAGTATGGTTAACTATACTGTCAAGAATGGGAAACCAGATACGAATTACCAGTCTCATGTACCATTCACCATCATAACATGAATGACATTTAGAATGTCACATTTTAACTGGAGAAGTGGTTGGTCCAGACTGATTGGCCTGAATTAGAAGAACTTCAGTCTCACCTGAATCCTAACTGTGGAATCAAAGCACACACTAGTGTAAAGGCTATGCAACACTGTATTGCTATTGGGCGGGAATTTGCTTGCTAGAATGTGATTGTTTTTTTCAAATACAACAACCCCTATCCACTTTTACAGGGCTTGACAGTGGTCTTCTACAATTGTATAGGCACTCACAGGAAATGAGAGAAATCTATCCCTAGGAAGGGAAATTCACTCCTGAAAGAGTTATCATGGGGAAAAGATGTCTCTGCTGAAGCTTTTTCACCAATAATTGTTTCCACAACGAGCCAAATGTTTCAAAATATAAATATGACTGGGGGAGAAAGTGAGGGGAAGTCTCCTGAACAGGGGCACAGACAGCAAAGCAAACACCACAGGGCTATATGCAGGGTTGTTTCTTTACGTCAATTCTGTGAGTGTTAGAATACAACCAATCGGCAAGCAATCACTTGTTCTTCTAATTATTCACTGTGGCCATGAGACCTCCCTAGGAAAAGTTAGGCCTACTATTTTAAACTTTTCTAATTAGCACTTAGGATTCCAGACAGTTTAAGAGAAGAAAATATATGGTTAAGTCTCACCATTAAGACATTAATATACAGCTTTGACACTATTTATCTTTTTCACTTTTAACTCCAAAGTGGCTTACAGTAAAACCAATACAATGGAAAACCCAAAAATATATTAATGATAAAGATTTCCCCTTGACATTATGTCTAGTCAAGTCCGACCCAGGGGTGGGGTGGTGTTCATCTCCATTTCTAATCCAAAGAGCCGGCATTGTCTGTAGACACCTCTAAGGTCATGTGGCCAGCATGACTGCATGGAGCGCTGTTACTTTCCTGCAGAAGCGGTACCTATTGTTCTACTCATATTTGCATGTTTTAAACTGCTAGGTTGACAGGAGCTGGGGCTAGCAATGGGAGCTCACCCCATCCCGTGGATTTGAACTGCCAACCTTCCAGTTAGCAAGTTATACAGCTTAGCAGTTTAACCCGCTGTGCAACTAAGGCCCGCTAAAATTCTTCACTAGACCCAAATAATTAAATATCGGCATTAAAAATAAACAGGTTAAACCAATTTAAAAATATTTAATATGTGAAGCTATATCTTCAACGAAGAACATATATCGAGGATTTGAATTTGCAATGATATATAAGGATTCTTCACTATTTCAAATATATTACGATCTGCCATTCTGAAGTTCAAGATATATAGCCAGTAAGATCACCTCTGGTGGGATCTCTTTTGGATGAATTTCTATTCATTGCTTCTTCTCCTAACCACTATAGCAGGGGTCCCCAAACTAAGGCCCGGGGGCCGGATGCGGCCCTCCAAGTTCATTTACCCGGCCCTCGCTCAGGGTCAACCTAAGTCTGAAACTACTTGAAAGCACACAACAACAACAACAACAATCCTATCTCTTCAGCCAAAAGCAGGTCCACACTTCCCATTGAAATACTAATAAGTTTATATTTGTTAAAATCATTCTTCATTTTAATTATTGTATTGTTTTTAAGTGTTTTTTTGCACTACAAATAAGATATGTGCAGTGTGCATAGGAATTCATTCGTGTTTTATGCAAATTATAATCCGGCCCTCCAACAGGTTGAGGGACTGGCCCTCTGTTTTAAAAGTTTGTGGACCCCTGCACTATAGTTTACTGGATCTCCTGGAAAAATCCTTTTCAAAGCTATAGCCTTTTTGTGTAGCATTACAAGCCTCTAGGCTCAAATGATTTTCCCACAACAGGATATCCTCCTCTTTCTCTTAAACTTCAACAATGTTCTTGACTAAATGGGAGCCATCTTTTAGTCCCTTATTACAGCAAAAAAGAAAAAAGTGTTCTGGCACATTATATCATTTGCCACAAGCATCAACTCAGTTCATCGGATGCACACATCCAACTTGGCTGCAGTCCACAAAACCTTGTGCCAAATTAGTTTTTAAGAGCCCCACAAGACTAAGATATCTGCCTCTCTCCCTGCATTTCATTAACACACAATTTTTAACATAAAAGTCTGCAAAGCTAGTAACATAAGATTCCACGCAAGGATTCTTCACTGTTTCAAATATATTTAATAGGTTTTGATGTCATTTTAAAAATGTATTTTAATATTTGTACTTACAGTTTGTTTTTAGCCACCTTGTCTCTCTCCTGAGGAATCTGTACAAGGACCAAGTAGCAACAGTCAGAACTGACCATGGAACAACAGACTGGTTCAAGATTGGGAAAGGCGTACGGCAAGGCTGCATACTCTCACCCAACCTTTTTAACTTGTATGCAGAACACACCATGCGATGTGCGGGGCTGGATGAATGCAAAGCTGGGGTGAAAATTGCTGGAAGAAACATTAACAACCTCAGATATGCAGATGACACCACTCTGATGGCCGAAAGCGAGGAGGAGCTGAGGAGCCTTCTAATCAAGGTGAAAGAAGAAAGTGCAAAAGCAGAGTTGCAGTTAAACATCAACCAAGATCATGGCAACCAGACTGATTGATAACTGACAAATAGAGGAAGAAAACGGGGAGGCCATGACAGACTTTGTATTTCTAGATGCCAAGATTACTGCAGATGCAGACAGCAGCCAGGAAATCAGGTGATGCTTTCTTCTTGGAAGGAGAGCAAGGACCAATCTCGATAAAATAGTGACGAGTAGAGACATCACACTGGCAATGAAGATCCGTATAGTCAAAGACATGGTATTCCCTGTAGTCACCTACGGATGTGAGAGCTGGACCTTAGGGAAGGCTGAGCGAAGGAATCGATGCTTTTGAGCTGTGGTGTTGGAGGAAAGTTCTGAGAGTGCCTTGGACTGCGAGAAGATCCAACCAGTCCATCCTCCAGGAAATAAAGCCCGACTGCTCACTGGAGGGAAAGATACTAGAGACAAAATTGAAGTACTTTGGCCACATCATGAGGAGACAGGAAAGCCTAGAGAAGACAATTATGCTGGGGAAAGTGGAAGGAAAAAGGAAGAGGGGCCGACCAAGGGGAAGGTGGATGGATGGTATCCTTGAAGTGACTGGCTTGACCTTGAAGGAGCTCAGGGTGGCATGGCCAACAGTGAGCTCTGCCCTGGGCCCGTCCATGAGGGCACCAAGAGTCGGGACGGCTAGTAAGAGTATAAGAGTTTATTCGATGCTTAGACCATAGGTCTTTCACATACAAGGCAAGGCAAATAAATAAATACATGAACACCAGATTATTAAATACAATATAAAATACACAATAAAATCCTATAAATCATTAAAATGCTACATATATCGATGGCAAGATGCACGTTTAAAATGCTACATAATGTATAGACTCATACCTGCGTAATTAAAAACCGAGTAAAAGCAAATAGATGCAGCATTATATAGATATAAATATAGATATATATTCTGACTTCCGTATTGCTTTTCACTTGTATTGTTTTAATACGCTTTTAGCTGTCTTGAATCTCACTATTAGGAGAAAGGAGGGAAATAAAATATAACAACAACAACAACAACAACAATAATAACAACAACAACAATAATAAATATTAAGACTGGCACAAGCCAGTAAAGGTGGTCCCAGTGGTGATCGGCACACTGGGTCCAGCACCTAAAAACCTTGGCCTGCACTTAAACACAATCAGCACTGACAAAATTACCATCTGTCATCTGCGATGGGGCCACCCTACTAGGATCTGCATGCATTATTTGCCGATACATCACACAGTACTAGACACTTGAGAAGTGTCCGACGTGTGATCCAATACAACAGCCAGCAGAGTGATCTTGTTTGCTGTGTACTAATCTTGTTCTGTTTCTAATGATAATGATAATGATAATAATAATAATTATAGCATGAGCTCCTTGCTGTGTTTGAATGTTTTGGGGAAACCCCCTTTGAATCTAAAAAAAATTAAAATGATACGTATCACCGTAACAAATATGCTGTTACTTAAATGTTTAAAAACAGCAGTTTTAACTGGAGGTGGGAATTAAAAGAATAAAACAATACTAACAAATGTACTGTCAAGGGCTTTCATGGCCAGAATCACTGGGCTGCTATGAGTTTTCAGGGCAGTATGGCCATGTTCCAGAAGCATTCTCTCCTGACGTTTCGCTCACATCTCTGGCAGGCATCCTCAGAGGTTGTGAGGTCTGTTGGAAACTAGGCAAGTGGGGTTTGTAGATCTGGAATGTCCAGGGTGGGAGAAAGAACTCTTGTCTGCTGGAGGCAAGTGTGAATCTTGCAATTGGCCACCTTCATTGGCAATGAATGGCCTTGCAGCTTCAAAGCCTGGCTGGTTGATGCATGAGCTCCTTGCCATGTGTGAGTCTGGGTGGGAGGCACCTTTCAATACCTAAACATAAAATTTAAAATAATATATTGTCGTAGCAACTATGCTGTTACTCAAATGTTAAAAAACAACCGTTTTTACTAGACGTTTCCGCGTTAAACCAATAGGCTTGTTTGTCACGTTAGCAGGAAGGCGACAACTGAGTGGCTATCAGGCTTGTCAATCGAAGCCCAGTCAGATTTGTGCAAATAGGATGGCGAAGAAAAAAAACCCATATAAAGGAAGGGAGAACTGCGCATGCGCTTTGCGCGGCAGCTCCTCCCAGCTGTTCTAAATCTCCGCTGCCACGCATGCGCCTAAGCCACGCCTGTTGCTATTGCTCCTGCGCTCGTCTTCCCTCAGCCACGATTGGTAGAGGCCAGGCTCCTCCCCTTCCAAACGAATCGTTCGCTTTCTTGGAGCCGAGCGCTTCCTGCGCATGACTGCCGAGAGCGCGAGACAGGAGGGGGGGGGGGGAGAGAAAGGAGCGAGCGCGCGTGCGCGCACGTTGGCGACGACCTGGCCAACCGGCGAGCTCCGTCGCGAGCCCGAGCCGTTTGGAGACTGCGCGTGCGCGCCCTGCCTGCCTGCCTGCCGAGCTGGTGCTTCTTGAGGAGGACCTTGGGCCGAGTGGCTTCGTCTCACTCTCGGCCAGGCGGCGGCTCCGAGGAGTGGACCGGTGTGGGCAGGTGAGTGCCAGGCGCGCCGGGGCCAGGAGGCCAAGGTGGCGGAAAGGGCGAGGTTCCTTTCCGGGCGGGCGGGCAGGCAAAGAGGGGCGCGGAGGCAGGCGAGGCGGGCCTCACAGCTCCCTGCCCTTTCCTGAGGCGATAACGGGGGGGGGGGGGGGGGGGGGGGGGGGGAGGAGGAGTGAGAGGGGGAAGCAGCCACCATAGGCGCCTCCTCGGCCCCCCTCCCCTCCCCCCTTTTCCTTTAGGCCTCCAGAGCCGCTTCCAGCTCGGCAGGAGATGTGGCCCCAGCCGCCCTTGTTGTAATGCCTCGACTAGATTCTAATCCCTTCAACAAGCCCTACTGCACCTTTCTACCTTTTTTCTTTCTTTTTCTAAGTTTAATTGTAAAGTATTCTTCTTTGGACCCATCTTATTTTACCGGTCATTCTCGTGAGTGGATAAATTACTTTCTCCAAACTTTCTTCGAAGTAATTATTCGCCCCACCCTCTCTTTTTTGCTTTATGAATCACGGCCATTGGACAAGCCGGTGGCCTAGTTGTGGCCACTGTTTAAGGGAGCCTTGTGTGCCTACTAATAGGTCAGCGATTACAGTTCTGGGTTGTGCCTGGAAGCGTGTGGGGATTGGGGTTTACAGATTGAGCGTCCCTTATTCCAAGTGCCAGGTACCAGAAGTACTATTTTCTCACAACGTGCATATATGTAGATACGGACCCACCCACCCCCCTTTTCGTATTTACATATATGCAGGTTGTGAGAAAGATCTAATATGAGATCCGGCTCCAAACAAATCCATGTATGTTTCCTACACACACACACACAGAGCCTGAAAGTAATTTTCATGCGCAAAGTGTGTTTCATTCATAAAATGATGTAAGTTTCATGCACAAAACTAATAAAAATATTTAGCACAGTAGATCTCAATATTCCTAATACTGCAATCCCTTAATACAGTTCCACATGTTGTGGGGATCCCCAACCATAAAATTATTTCCGTTGCTACTTCACAACTGTAATTTTGCTACTCTTATGAATCATAATGTAAATACTTGATATACAGGATGTATTTGCATTCACTGGACCAAATTCGGCACAAATACTGGGCGTATTTGAATACTGGTGGGGTTGGGTGGGGGATTCATTTTGTCATTTGAGAGTTGTAGTTGCTGTGATTTATAGTTAACCTACAATCAAAGAGCATTCTGAACTCCACCAAGGATGGAATTGAACCAATCTTGGCACACAGAACCTCCCTTACCAACAGAAAATACTGGAAGGGTTTGGTGAGCATTGACCTTGAGTTTTGGAGTTGTAGTTTACCTACATCCAGAGAACACTGTGGACTCAAACAATGATGGATCTTGACCAGAGTTGGCACAAATACTCAATATGCCCAAGTAGAAACACCGGTGGAGTGTGGGGAAAATAGACGTTGACATTTGGGAGTTATAGTTGCTGGGATTTATAGTTCACCTGCAATCAAAGAGCATTCTGAACTCCACCAAGGATAGAATTTGACCAAACTTCCTACACAGAACCCCCATGACCAACAGAAAATACTGTGTTTTCTGATGGTCTTTGATGACCCCTCCTCATGACCCCCCCAGGGGTCCCAACCTCCTGGTTGAGAAACGCTGGTCTAAGATGAGATCCATCTCCAAACAAGAAACCTATGTATGTTTCCTATACACATACACAGCCTGAAGGACATGAGAGAAGCCTCCCAAAAGGATGATAAAACATCAAATCATCCGGGCGTTCCTGGGCAATGTCCTCGCAGACAGCCAATTCTCTCACACCAGAAGTGACTTGCAGTTTCTTAAGTCGCTCCTGACACGACAAAAACAAACAAACAAAAACGCATAAAGTGTGTTTCATTCATAAAATGAAGTGAGTTCCATGCACAAAACTACTAAAATATTTAGCAGAAAGCAAAGGAATTACTACCAGCCATTCACACCATTTCAGACTTTGGAGTGTTTTGAATTTTGAAATTAAAAAAGAAGAAGAAGAAAAGAGAGGTTCTCAATCCGATATAACTTACTTAAAAGTGTAGAAAATTAGTCTGGATGTCTCTTGCATGCTTGATGTTTGAATGGGGTGTATCACCATGGTGCTTTGGGCTCTTCCACACAGCCATATAACCCAGAATATCAAGGCAGAAAATCCCACAATATCTGTTTGAACTGGGGGGCCTTCCATACAGCCCTTTACCCCATAATATCAAAGCAGAAAATCCCACATCTGAGTGTAGACTCGGATAACCCAGTTCAAAGCTTATTTTGTGGGATTTTCTGCCTTGATATTCTGGGATATAGGGCTAGTGGAAGGGCCCCGGGTTATCTGAGTCCACACTGCCATTTATCCCAGTTCAGAGTAGAAAATGTGGGATTTTATTTAGCTGTGTGGAAGGGGCCTCAATCTCTCCAGTGAAGATAGTATTATTTATAGTAATTATGATAGTTATCACCAAAATATTTTGAAATAAGTTTGTTGAAAAACAGATATTAAGTACCAAATCAGCAGTGGGAGATGAGAGGCAAAGCAGGGGTAGCCCTGTTATAAGAATGCATTCTTTTTCTTCTCCTTCTTTTTCTTTGCACTCTTTCTTTTTAAACTGTGTGTTTGTGGAGACTGGTTCAAAAGACTATTGGCTGAGAAATCAAATAGAACTTTAATGAAATAAGCAGTTTGATGGCTAAATCCTGCATATTTTACTTTTTTACTTTGCACACTTCTCCATTTCCCAGCTTGTGCCCATAAAGGAAAGATGAACCATGACATACCGTATTTATCTTGGCGTTTTCAGGAAAGCGTTCCTTGTATTTCCTGCATGGAAGTACATACAAGGAAGACTTCATTTAGTGAAAAGCGTAGTGCTTTCCTAGACATTGCTCTACTTTCCAGAAGTATTTTTACTTCTTGTGCACAAAGTCACCTTGGTAATAGAGGAACATTTTCCCCATCATGTTTGCTTTAACAAGCACATTCGAAAACTTCTCAGTAAGAATGGATCAAGTAACTTTTTCTCAAATCAGTTTGACTCACTTTGAGGTTTTAATTTAAGGACTACATAGTGATAGTAACTTGGGGCAGATGTGTTTGATAAAGTTTCAACTTTGCCTATTTTCTGTATATGTTTCAAGTAAATATGTGTTAAATGACTTCCTCTCTGGCCCTTTCTTCACTGCGATATAAAATCCAGATTATCTGCTTTGAACTGGATTATGTGGCAGTGTAGAAGGGGCCTCTGTAGCTAAATAATATACATAGTTTTACTAATGTTGTACTCCAGCTCCTCCCCCTCTCCACCTTATTAATTTTTCCTGCCATGTTACAAGTAGGGTGTTCTGTCCCTCCCATGTTACAAGTACACACACTTCAGTCTCCATAATTTTTTTTCTTGTATTGCCATTTTTCAGCATTCCAGCCTTTTTACTGCTTTCACATCCATGGCCCTCTGTAGTTCCACTCGTTCTTTCTATTTCTAAGCAAAACCCTTCACCCTATTAGGTTATTTTCTGTCTTTCTTTACATTACTGTTCACTAAATGTTTCTTCATTCCTATCCCAAACTTCTGTATTTCTTCCTTCATCTTTTTGTATCCTCATTTGTGTTCATTTTTGCTGATCTCTGTGGTAAAAATAAAGAGATTTAACTTTCTCATTGGTGAATCTCAGATTTTTGCAGTGCCATTGTCTAATGGCAGTGATGAAAAAACTAGTGCTAACTTTCAATATGCAATGTTGAATTATTCACTGTTATTCATGTTTAGTAACATCTAGGATGGACTGACTGTTTTATGTTGTATATGGAACTGCCTTTGAAGACTGGTGGGAAAACAAAGGCTGCAGCTACATTGTATAATAAATGCTATTTGACACCACTTTAACTGCCATGGCTCAATGCTGTGGATCCTGGGATTTGTAGTTTTATGAATTCTTTAGCCTTCTCTGCCAAATAGTGCTGTGCCTCATCAAAATATAATTCCCAAGATTCCATAGCATTGAACAAGGACACTTAAAGTGGTGTCAAGCTGCTTTAATTCTACAGTGCTGATGCATTCACAATTTCTGAAAAATACTGTTAACCTGGGCTGGTCATGAGAACATATCTCATCAGTACTGGAAGCACTGGCTTTATGTCAGTTTCCAAACACTTTTAAGTATTGAAGTTCTGTCTTTCAAAGACATTTTGTGACACAGTAATTAAGTTTTACCTGCAGAGAGATAGACATGTACCGTATATTCCGGGCTATTAGACGACTTTTTGAACATTGAAAATCCTTTGAAAAGTTGGGGGTCGTCTTATCTCCCGGATATACCAGACGATGAATGGCAGTTGCAGCGGAGCCAATGCAGCCGAGGAAGCGGATGAGAACCTCCACTTGCAGCGGCCTGCTTGCCTGCCTGACTTCCAGGGCTGCGCAGGCCAGCGCTGGCTGCGGAGGCCTGCACAGACCTCTGCAGCTGGTGAGCGCGCCCGCCCCTGGTGCTTCCAGCAAGGCTTCCAGCCTCTGTCTTCAGCCTCCAGGAGCAGCGTGGCGCGAGCCAGACTCTCCGTTGGGCCCCAGCTGGGCCCAGTGAGAGAAAGACGCAGCGTGAGGAAGGAGGCTGGAGGGCAGCCTTCCTCACACTACCCCCCTTCTTCCTGGGCCCCGTTGGGGCCAATGGAGCATCTGGCCCATGCCGTGCTGCTCTTGGAGGCTGTAGACAGAAGAAGCCTCACCGGAAGCAGCAGGGGTGGGCGCGCTCACCAACTGCGGAGGTCAGTGCAGGCCTCCACAGCCAGCACTGGCCTGCTCAGCCTTTCCTGCCTCTACCACCGAGGAAGGCATCTGCGAGTGGTTCTCATCCACTCCCCCGGCTGCATCATCCGCTTGCTGCTTACGCCAGTGCAGGCCTCCGCAGGTGTGCACCTTTCCCTCCTCTTCCCTCGCCCCGCAGATGCCTTCCTCGGCAGTGGAGGCAGGAAAGGTGCGCGAAGGAAAATGGAAATTTGA